AAGGAACCAAGGTTGAAAGAAGAAGGAAATAGAGGAACAACGAAAAAGAAAAAATACATTTTATTTTAAATTATTATTATTACTAAGCTTTCAGCAGGCATCTAAAACCACACTAATCAATAAAAGGCAAGATGTGGGCAATAGTTATGAAACACTATTAATTGTTTCTAAATTCATAAACAAAAGCCATATAATAAGTGTAAGAAGTCACAAACTAATAGAAGTCAAAAAAATATTCCATCAACAGGCTCCAGATCATTCTCAACCAAACTTTGATATAGATATGAACTGTGGAAAGGCTTTCTGCCTCAACTTCAGTGTTTCTTTGTGGTTACACACCATTCTAAGCATTCCTGTTGATGGAATATTTACCGTATTTTTTGCTCTATAAGAAACACCAGACCATAAGACGCACCTAGTTTTTGGAGGAGGAAAACAAGGGAAAAAATATTCTGAATCTCAGAAGCCAGAACAGCAAGAGGGATCACTGCGCAGTGAAAGCAGCGATCCCTCTTACTGTTCTGGCTTCTGGGATAGCTGCGCAGCCTGCATTCACTCCATAAGACGCACACACATTTCCCCATACTTTTTAGGATGGAAAAAGTTAGTCTTATAGAGCAAAAAATACAGTATTTGACTTCTATTAGTTTGTGACTTCTTGCACGTATTACATGGCTTTTGTTTATGAATTAAGAAACAATTGATAAGTGTATCATAAATATTGCCAATACATTTTGTTGATCAGGTTGTTTCGTGTTGTAACACAGGGGATTTTCTTCGTCTCATCTAAAACAACACAGCAAGTGTACATGCCTAATGTCAACAGGCAGGGAGCTGCCAGATTAAAAGAGTCATTGCATACCATTAAGTGGTGCTTGTAAACACACAAATTCCGCAGATTGAAGCAGAAGTATTACAGAGAATGGGGATGGCTGTCATCAGCATAATACAGAAAGTGAAATGAGTCACAATAATAAAAGATCAAGCACAGCATAATCACATGTTCTTAATGTCCCCCAGAACATCCAGCTTACTCAGATTTATTTTCAAAAGAAGGAACTTGTAAAAAGTTAAAAGGAAGTTGAAAAGGTCAAACCACTTCAAGTTAAGGGGGTCAAATTGCTACAAGGGGCTTGGATGGTACTGGAAATCAGAATAATAGAGGTTTAGCTACATCAGAAGCAGAAAACCAGCCACTGATCTGTATATGGGAGATGGGAGAGAGAGTAATTTCATTAGTGTATTATCTAATGGCCACCTCATGAGAAGAGAAGACTCCCTGGAAAAGACCCTGATGTTGGGAAAGAAGAAGTGCACAAGGAGAAGGGGATGACAGAGGACGAGATGGTTGGACAGTGTTCTCGAAGCTACAAACATGAGTCTGACCAAGCTGCGGGAGGCAGTGGAAGACAGGAGTGCCTGGCGTGCTCTGGTCCATGGGGTCACGAAGAGTCGGACACGACTAAACGACTAAACAACAACAACGTTATCTAAAGGGTTTTGGTTTTGGTCCTTCTGCAGATCTTGGAGTTCTGCTGATGCCTCCTTCTTGGGGTATGGATGTTGCCGTTCTGGCTCTATAGGGATCAGCACTTGGGAAGGAGTTCAGCATTTGCCAGCCTTGTGCTGTCCAGATGTTTTGGACTACACCTTCCGTCAGTCCCAGGCACTACATTCTGGCAGGGACTGATGGTATTTTAGTCCAAAACATCTGGATGGCACCAAGCTGGTTAAGACTGGTTGAGGATCAAAGGGATAGAATGTAATTAATAATGCCAGTTGAAAAGAGCTATGCACAAGCTTAAGAAACTGCTGGATGAGATCCCAGAAGTACTCAAAGAGAAGGGAATCCAAGATGGATGGGAGTTTCTTACAAGTACAATATTGAAGGCACAAATGAGGACAATTCCAACAAAAAATAAAAGTGGGAGGCATCTAAAGAAACCGGTGTGGCTGCATAAGGAGCTTACAAATGAGCTGATATTTAATAAGGACATATTTAAGAAACAGAAGAAAGGGGAAATCATTAAGTAGGGGTATATATGAGTAGCCAACAGTTGCAGAGTGAAGGTCAGGCAAGCCATAGTTCAGAATGAGCTCAGGCTTGCAAGATATGATAAATTCATTAAAAATGTTTCTTCAGCTATGTTCAAAGCAAGAGGAGGAACAACAAGTAGTAGGTCATCTGTGTGGAAAAGACAGAGAAATGCTATTGGGTGACAGAGAGAAGGTGGAACTGCTCAACACCTACTTTAGCTCTGTCTTCATCCAAAAGGAAAGGAAGGCCCAACCTGGTGATAACAGAATAAATGATGCAATGAGAGAGCTGCAGCCCAAGATAAGAGAAGCAGTAATAAGGAAACACCAAGTTACTTTAAATGAATTCAAATCTCCAGGGCCTGGTGAGCTCTACCTGTACCCAAGGGTACTAATGGACCTTGTAATCTCAGAGCCTCTGTCTATAATCTTGTAGAATTCTTGGAGGATAGGAGAGGTCTCTGCAGACTGCAGGTGAGCAAATGTTGTCCCCATCTTTAAAAAGGGAGAAAAATAAGACCCAAGTAACTACCGACCAACAAAAAACAAAAGTGGGAGGCATCTAAAGAAACCAGTGTGGCTGCATAAGGAGCTTACAAATGAGGGTCCCATGGACTGCAAGAAGATCAAACCTCTCCATTCTGAAGGAAATCAGCCCTGAGTGCTCACTGGAAGGACAGATCGTGAAGCTGAGGCTCCAATACTTTGGCCACCTCATGAGAAGAGAAGACTCCCTGGAAAAGACCCTGATGTTGGGAAAGATGGAGGGCACAAGGAGAAGGGGACGACAGAGGACGAGATGGTTGGATAGTGTTCTCGAAGCTACCAGCATGAGTTTGACTAAACTGCGGGAGGCAGTGGAAGACAGGAGTGCCTGGCATGCTCTGGTCCATGGGGTCACGAAGAGTCAGACACGACTAAATGACTAAACAGCATCAACAACAACACTACCAACCAGGGATCTTGGCATCAATACCAGGAAAGGTCATAGAACAGATAATTCAACAGTCGGTCTGTGAACACTTAGAAAAAGGATACTGGAATGCCTCAAGCCCAGCATGGGTTTCTCAAAAATAAGTCATGCTAGACGAATCTCATTTCTTTTTTTGATGGAGTTACAAGCTTGGTGGATCAGGGGAATGCTGTAGATGTGTATATCTTGATTACAGTAAGGGTTTTGACAGAGTCCCTCATGATATTCTTGCGAGGAAGCTGGTAAAATGTGGGTTGGACAAGGTAACTGACAATATCATAGTCATCTTCAAATATCTAGAGGGCTGTCACATGGAATATGGAGCAAGCTTCTTTTCTCCTGCTCTGGGGAGTAGGACCCAAACCAATGGATTCATGTTACAAGAAAGGAGATTCCGACTAAACATCAGGAATAACTTTCTGACAGTAAGAGCTGTTTGACAGTAGAACAGACTCCTTCAGGAGGTTGTGGAGGTTTTTAAGCAGATGTTGGATGGCCATCTGTCATGGATGCTTTAGCTGAGATTCCTGCATTGAAGGGGGTTGGACTAGATGACCCTCATGTCCCTTCCAACTCTATAATTCTAGGATTCTAAGTGGCTTAACGGACATGCACAAGGTGGCAATCATCAGATATGTCTAAACATTTGAATATCTATTTGTTTTATCCTCTGCGTTTAATTTAAAATCCACAGCGCTTTTTCTAAGAGGCCCCAATGCCCTACGTAAACACGAACCAACTATATTCCTGTATAAATAGCAGTCTTGCTACAAAAATCTGGATTGTGAAGTATTTGTCAAACATTTCAGTGCTGTCCTCACAGCTAGGGTGAATTCCTTCTTGTTCAAATACGGCAAAGTGGTTCAACTGCAGATATAGTAAAAAACATTTTTTTCCTCAGAGTGCAAATATTACCCACTGTATTGTGAGGATGATTGGCAGTTGCTTGTTTCATGTAATGGTAATAGGCATTTTTTTAAGCTATATTTTATATTTTTTAAGCTCAAATTAAGGTAAGGGCAATTTTAACCTCAAATACAAATGCAAATATTTGGGTACTGGCCTTTAGTCCTTTTCTTTTCTTTTTTTCCTTTGCAGGTTCACAAGAATTGAAAGTTCCAATGGTTATAGGTAGCCGTTAGATAAAATGCAAAAGTCATTGTAGTATAATACCTAAAGATCCCAAATGTCACAAATTGCAGGCAATGTACCACGCCCCCGGGATGCATGCCATGCCCCCCCAGGGCACGCATCATGCCCCCGGGAGGTGCCAGCCACGCGCCCGCCTGCTCTCTGCCCCCGTAGCGGGGCATGCAGCTTCGCCACTGATTATAGGTGTTTGGCACCCACAAACTCATAGCACTACTAATATTGATAAAATATTGAACATTAAATAAATGGTAGTGATTACTGCGCTATGTTGGAACTCATAGAAACTCAGGGGGTTGGGATACTTTAACAATCAATATTAATTACATGTTAATGCCCCATGGTAGCTCAAATAACAAGTTCCTTTATATATTTTAAAATCCTAATATTTCTGGATAGAATGTGTTTCTTTTTTCAGTCCTGTCCACATAACTCATGAAGTTATGACTTACTGCTCTGTTATAGGAAATGAATTCACGATTGCACATTTCTATAGCCAGATGAACATTTTCCTATTATGAAGTTGTTTGTTGTGAGTTTTCTTTTTTTGAGGAAAAGAGGAGAAAAAATCTTTCCTATGAAAGTTAGCTCATGCTTTTGGTTAGAAAAGACCTACTTAAATGAGATTACGCTTGTCTAATCACTTCCCAGTCAGTAATTTAAAATAAATCAATTTTATCTGTATTGATAAAATGACTATTTTGGTCATAATAGCTTTGATCAAAGCACATGTTTCCCAACAGACACAGAAACGGGAACCTGGAGTAAAGAAGGAGAGACAGTCTGTTCTTTGAAACTTCCCCCACACACCCCTCTTTTTTCTGAGTTGGATGGCTCTGCTCAGACAGAGAGAGAGAGAGAGGTTGCAAAGGAGAATTAGAGACAGAAAGCAAGGAATGGAATGGAAAGGAAGCTTCTTCTAACCAGAAATAGAGACTGCTGTGGTTTTGTATGAAATCTGTGGGACAACACTAGCTCTTTATTTCTCGGAAGCAAGACAGAGATGCCATTTAGTTGCTTCTTCTTATTCTTAGCTATTGAAGTGAATGGTGAGTACACTTACTATTTTCTATGTTAACACTGATAGGTAGGAAACCCCAGCAACTGACCTTTTGTTAATTAGTCATTATGATTTTCTTTTTTAAAAAAGAAAGAAAAGAAACCCTGCACAAAGATTGCCACAATTCTCTGATGGATATCTGGAATTTTAAGAGACTGACATTTCAGATGTAAATGCAAACATTAGGTTTGTTCAGCCACTGTTAGCACACCAGCATGCCAATATAAACAGTCTTTTTAATTATCTGTAAGTGTATGCTCAGCTCTGAATTCTAGAATCCCAGCACTGATCTTAAATACAGCTTCAAACCAGCTGCAGAGCTGCATTCAGAATTCGGTGCTGCTGCTAAGAATTATGCCATGGTAGCTGTGGCTGATTTTGTATTTGACTCTTGGCTTTTCAGAAGTTTTCAGTTGTTCTACCATTCTGTTTCAAAGTAGCATGCACGTCCACTTGGTTGAAGTTTATCACAGGATTTTTATTCCTGTCATGAGAAGTAATAGCAAATGGAGAAAACTGGCAAAGTTTTGATCATCAATCACTTCTGTGTGGCTTCGTTGACTTAAGATATGCTAGCAGGGAGGGTGCCTTGCAGGTCCTCTAAGGAATGTCTAGTTGTGGGATGGTTGTGCTGCATGATAATATTAGCTCTGGCTTATATTTGGCATAGCAAATAACTGATAAATGTGACTGTGGCTGAGATGGTACATATAAAATTCTATAATATTCCGGCTTGTTTTGCACCAATATATTTTATTTCACTTTTCTTAAACTTTAGATAGATTGATAGATCGATAAATATAGCTATAGTTGAAATATATATTTATGGGGAGGGAGAATACCTTTCTTAAACACCATTAAGGTTCTGTATAATGCAAAGTGCTCACTGGAAGGACAGATCCTGAAGCTCAGGCTCCAATACTTTAGCCACCTCATGAGAAGAGAAGACTCCCTGAAAAAGACCCTGATGTTGGGAAAGATGGAGGGCACAAGGAGAAGGGGACAACAGAAGATGAGATGGTTGGACAGTGTTCTTGAAGCTACTAACATGAGTTTGACCAAACTGTGGGAGGCAGTGGAAGACAGGAGTGCCTGGTGTGCTCTGGTCCATGGGGTCACGAAGAGTCAGACACAACTAAATGACAAAACAACAACAAAACAACAATAATGCAAAAGCAACTTAGAAAGAACATTTTAATCAACTGAGTTGTCTCTTTAATCATATGCCTGTAGGTCCTTTGAAAATATTCAAGTGACCTATGCTGTCCATTTAGCTGCTTAGAGACATGGGTTGGATCCAAAGGCACAAGGTGCTTCTTCCATTATAGAAAGGCTTCCTCTGGTGAAGAAGAGAACCTCTGGAGTCAATCCAAGGCTTCTCCACAGACATCTAAACAATATTAGGCTCCCCCGTGGCAGTGAGTCTGCAGCCTTCCTCTCCCTTCAGTTGCCTCAGGTATCAAATGCTGTGGGCTGCAGGATCTTTGGCCCTTCCTCCCAAGCTCTCTGGTTCTGCTGAGCTGGGTGTATCATACAGCCTGTCAGGCACCCCTTAAACTAGCCTGCTGTCCTCGGGCATGGTGGAAGATGCGGTCTTAGTGCCAGTGTTGAATTAAGATTCTTCAGCCAGTCCCGGCAGCTTCTATACATGTAGTATGAAGTGCAATGTTGTCCTTTGCCTCAGGCAGCAAAAAAATGGAAGGGATAGGGTGGTGATGGCAGGCACTGTGCCTGCTCTGGCCATATACCTTAGGCCAAGTAATTATAGATGGAGGAGATAAAGTTGGCAAAGCATTTTGCACACCAGAGTGTTGCTTAAGCAATGGTGTTATGGATAACAGCAGTGCACCTTTTTGGGTAGGTGAAAATGCACAATGGAGCATTGGTCCAATGTAAGGCATTCATCCATAATCCTAATCATGCTGCCAACACACCAGCTTCCATAGTCTGTGAGCAGCATGTATTAATGAGCACACTGTTGTCCTTGAGTTGCATGCTCTGTTGCACCGAAAATGTTGTTAGAGTGCAAACAGCAATATGGGAAGAAGGGGAACTAACATCAAACTGTAAGAAGAACAAGGACTTAGGTTGTTTATTAGAAAAGCAAGCAGTTAGGCAGCTATTTGCTGTGGAATTTGAGTCTCTTGCTTCTCTTCATACATATCCACAATGACTAAGATATTAGAGAATGCCCTCTAATATTATGCAATAAAGCCGGGGGGGAGGGAAATAAAAGTTTTATCCTTCCCTGCAAAATAAGCTATTCCTGATTCATGTCAGACTATTATTATTATAATTTAATTATATTTATTTATATCTTGCCTTCTCCCCATACTGGGACTCAAGGCTGCTTACAGATAAAAGAGAGAAAGCTAAAAACATAAAAAAGATAGTCATTAAAGAGGAAGTCAACACTAATAGATTTAAAAATACAGATAACAACAACAACAAAAGCATCACACCAGTAGCCCTTTCCTTTCAGTTCTTAAAGGCCTGTTGGAATAAAAAGGTTGTCACCTGCCAGCTGAAGATCAACAAGGAGGGAGCCAATCTAACTTCCCTAGGAATGGCATTCCAAAGTCTCTGTTCAATGTTTCCAAACTGCATTTCTTTTTAATTGCACTGTTGTTTCAATTTTCCTCTTGGTCTTTCCGTGTATACACCTTTCATTAGTTAGTTAGTTACATTTCTGTCATACTTCTTCCTCTTGCCATCCACCCCAACCCTGTGAGGTAGACTACACTAAGAGGCAGTGACTGGTCCAAAGTCACCCAGTGGATTTCATGGCTGTGTGGGGATTCGAACCCTGATCTCCCAGGTCCTAGTCCAACCACTACAGCATTTGATACTTCAGTATCAAAGCAATTCACATGCAAAAGTTTGCAGCTAACACTGAACATCTTTTTATAAGAGGATATTCTAAGTTATCTCAAGACAGCCCAATGAACATCAGATGATCACAGATTATTGAGGGTTCATATATTTTTAACCTTTTTGGAGATGTGATCTTGGGGTATGAGGTCCAAAACCTGCTTGCACTCTCTTCTGTGACATTTTGATTTCCATATTCTCTGTCTTATCCTTTGGCAATTTCCAGCAGTGTATTGTCTTAGATGACTCACCTAGCATATTTTTAACTTTAGAAAATCTTGCTTTAGGTCCTAAAGCTCCAGAAACGTGGTTGTTATTATAAATGAAGTGCCAGCATGATCAATGTCACATATAAAGCTGGTGGCTGAACAAAAAGTCTGTATCTAAAGTGACATTAGAAGAGGGAGAAGAAAACGTCACTTTTGCGTACGGAAATACACGGCAAAGGCTCTATTTCCTCAGGAAAGGTATTTTTTAATAAGGCTGGGGTGAATTCTCTCCCCTGTTTCTCAAAATTCTCCACAAAACAAGGAGCCAGTTTTCCGCTGTTTCTGTAGAGGAGGTGGAAAAATGTATCTTTAAAAATCAGGTGTCAGTTACGGTTTAGTTTACTAGGCCTCACCAGGAAGTGCAGTGCAATCAATGGGAAGCTGTGAAGAGTATGGTTCCTTGCCTGGAATGCCTTGTGATGCAACAAAACATGGTATAAAAGATGCTATGCTAATGCTTTTCAGTTCTGTTTATGAGCAACATTTTGTTTAAAAGTGTGCCAAAAGGAAAGGAGCAAAGCCATTCCTAACTTGTTGTGAAAATGCAAGAGTTATGTTCCAGATGTTTATTTCAGGAGTCAAAGTCTCATTTCTGTGCTTTCACCCAGAACTCTGTCTCTGGAATGAAACAAAAACAGTGAATACTAAATATGTGAATAAACACAAATGACTATCCAAATTCAGGAAGGACACAAGCTGTTATGTTATAAGAGTCTTCCTCTAAAAGTGTATAGTTTGAACATAGCTAGCTGAATTAACACTTTTTATTCACTCAGCACTGGCTGTGAACTCTCTCCATGTGGTAGAAGAGGAGACAGGATTGCTAACAAGATTTTCTGCAACCAACATATTGTGCAAGGATGGACACTCACAAAAGTGTCCCACTCACAAAAGAAGACACAAAGTTGCATATGCTTTGTGTCATATCTATATTTGTATCCTCAATATTTGTACATGGGGCGAGGGCCTAAGAGTAAATCAGGGGCCACGCTTGAGTAATAAGATGTCCAACAGACAACATGTCAACAGGTGAAGCTCCTCTCATCATTGTATTTCAGTACTGCCCCTGGAAATGCTCAACCTGCTGAATTTCTCTCTGCCCACACAGCTGTCAAAAACATGAACCCTGCTATTCTCCAAAGCTAAGCCTACACCAGGCAAAGAATTCAAGTTACATGACTTGCAAATCAGTTGTATAGGGCTTTCATCAATGGATCTTAAGGTGACAAAACTATGTTCAGCCTAAGATTAGACATGGTATTTCAAGAGGGGTGGTGGTAATCAAGAGAGATTTAAGAGCCACAGAAGCAAGGTTCAGGTGCCCATGCTTGGATAAATGCAAGATTAAATTGTGAAAAAGCAAGCAGTATATTTTAAGAGCATTTCTTGCTGTTTTTTATTATGTGTACTTAAATGCTTATTAAGTAAATATTTATTATTAAGTAAACATTTTTAGAAAGCGCCAAAACTAGTACTGTGAAGGCACTGGCCTGATGTCGATAGTCAAGGAGCCCCAAAGTACAAGTGCCTAAAAAGATGAAACAAAAGACTACTTTGCTGTGCATGCACCATAAATGTGAAAAATTAAAGGATTGCTCATGTAATGCTGCAACTGCCCTTGCACAATGAGACCCAATATGTGCATATCAAGGCTGTTTTCAGAAGCGATATGAAGAACGCGTGCCATGATTGCATCTGTTCTGTGTGCCGTTCATGTGATCAGGGAGAACAGCAACAGAAGCTGCTGGCAGTTGTGTGAGATGTGCGCAGAACTTTTTGCTCCTTAGCCTGAAGAACCTGCTTTTCCTTCCTCTGACCAGCATTTGATGTTGTAGGGACTAGGAAATCAGCTCCTGAACCTGCACCAAGAATGCAGATCTGTTCTAAGCTAGTAAAATCAATTTGGTTTCTCAACTGGAAACTGAGGGAGTTCATGAAGGAAGGAACAATGTGTTCAGTTGTGACCCCATGTGAATCAGAGTTTCATGCATTACTGAAACCACTTTGGGTGTAATCACAGGGGAATGGAAAGTCTGCATTTGTTCTAGAGTGTTCTGAAGAGCTATTGCAAAAACAGGCATACACGTTTTGTTTGTGTGTATATATTATACAAAAACTAACAAAAAATATACATAATAACATTCCAAACTTTATAAATTCAGTTGTGCACTCACATTTGCAACAAATAGCATGATCTTTAGAACATTTACTCTTAGATGAAGGTTCCAGTGATTAAATTTACTTTTATATAAATGTTTGCAAGAGTGCAGGCTGAGGATTACTACAAATATTGCGTGGGAAATTAAAAGAACTGATGCAAAATTGTAAGTAACCCAAGCTGTAACACTTTTAATTCAATGCGTTTGAACAGTTCAACAATGTAACCTAAACATTGAAAACATTTCAGTAAAGCCCAGCCTCTTTCTGGTGTTTATTTTTTAATAGCTCTTCATGCTGCTTCAGGAACTCAGGATTTTGGATTTGGAATTGCATGTCCTCTTGGCTATTTCCCTTGTGGGAATATCACAAAATGTTTGCCTCAGCCCTTTCACTGCAATGGGATAGATGACTGTGGGAATCACGCAGATGAAGAGAACTGTGGTAAGTTGACAGTTTTTCCACAGTAGCTCTTAGTGTGAGTTAACAAAGCCTTTGATACTACATCACAATTGTTGTTTTCTCAGTAACTACTCTGACAAAAAAACTTGGTATTGGGTTGGGTTGTTTTTTTAAATAACTAAGTTTTTTTTTAAGCATTCTCTTAGCATCGGTCTGGTATAAGCTGCTTGGTTAGCAGGACTCTAAAATCACCTCATGTACTAAGAACAAAAAACTAATTTTGTATATATTGAACCTTTCCAATCTAGCTATCTATCTAGACAATATTTCCCCCACCTTTTCCACTAAGTGGTGTACAAAGAATATAACACAATGAAAATAAAAATAAGTTAAAACTATAAATTCAGAATTCAGTTAAATGCCTGCTGGAATGATGGTGATGAGGATGAGGATGATGTCTTCAGTATGTGCTGGAAGTTCAACAGAGAGGAGGCCTATCAGACCTCAACTAAAAGAAATTTCATAAAATTGGGCCCATAATACTGATCACACAACACTGATCTATGATGGATACAAGTGATGCATCCGAGCCATGGGGGACCACAAACATTGACTCCACCGAAGACCTCAGTGATGAGGCAGAGCTATAAGGGATCAGGAGGCCCTTAAGGAATCCTGCACCCAAGTTGTTAAGGGCCTTGTAAATTTATCCACAAACCTTGAACCTGGACCAGTAATGTATGGGCAGCCAAGGTGCAAGCTTTTGAGCATGGAGCTATATAATGGGTTTATGATGGAAATTCACTAATGTCAATGTAATAGGACATATGTCAAGGGATTGGAACAATAATCCCATTTTTTTCTAACATAGGAACTACATATGGATGTATGTTAGTATATATGTAAAGCACACTGTTCTGTGTCCTCAAGTGATGATTAAACAGTGGATAGATATCATTTGCTAATGAAAATCACATTAAGGCTGGAATCCTAAACATCATGGGCCTTGTTGAACATTGCAGGATTTCCAAGTACACATGCCAAATTACTTGGTAAACTGAATTGACTTCACTAGTACTAATGCCTGAATCAGTGCAAGACCATATCCATAGTGGGGAAACAACCAGGATTTTTTTTAGGGTGGGGGTTGCTTTAAATATATGGTGTGTAAGCAGCCTTGGAGGGAAAAATAGTGGTCCAAAATGGCCCCGGTTGTGGTGATTAGAGACATGGCTTCTATCCCATCTTTTATTGTAATTCTTCAAAATTGCTTCTTGGCAGAGAACAAGCTGTTTCTGGCAGAGTGCACACTCTCCCCTTTGAATAATTGTGTCATAGCAGAGGAACATGGTTAGAAAAAGAAGGAGAGAAATACAAATGGTTTTTCTCTAGGGCAGTGTGGCCAAACTTTTAACTGAGCAGAAAGATTTGTGTCTAATAAGTAGCAAATCCATAGCTGAATAATCATATCTTTTTTACAAGTGAGGTTGTTTTTGACAGTGACAACATCCTAAAGGGCCTTCCTGCCCTCTAGTAGTAGCTGGAAAGGAGGTGCAGTGCAAATGGGGAAAATGGAGGGAAGCATCATCAATGGCATATCATTTGCGAACTAAAAAGAGCAGCAGTAAATACCAATCACATTCACTGGATTCCAGACATGGGACAAATAAATGAACACAAGCAATTTCCATTGGAATTTTCTGAGGCATGTTTATAAATAGTAAATGATGATGATGATATTTCTGCTTTGTAACTTCTATTAGGTGATAACAGTGGATGGTCTCAGCAGCTGGATGCAATTTATGATAAAAAGGCTTTCCAATATTCCTTGGACTTGGAAACAGATGAATGTTGTAAGTAGGAAGAGAAATAAATTGTTAACTTGTAGAATTTGAAGGGAAAGCATACCACAGATCTGGTGACTGTGGAACCAAGTTTCAGTGGGCATGTGGACATTTCAGTTCTGTTTTAGAAAGACACTGGGGCACAAAGCTTTAGAACAATATAACTTAAAATTGCTTTTAATCACATTGATCAAGTGAAAGATAGAATGTGTGTCCTCAACAATCCTGAATTAAGCCAGGATCATGACATAATAATAAATCATTGTTAATGCAAGCCACAGTTCATAAATGATTTCAAACCATGGTTTCAAATTCTAGATTGTTGGCCACAAACCAAATCAAACATATGAACTACAATAAGCTAAACAAACCACAGTCTAAGTATTACATGTGGACCAAGCCAGCAAATTTTGAAGTTTACAGCCTGACACAAATGGTTATTTGAAAACACTTCTGACAGGTAGAAGAAAGGCTTTCTGATCTTCCATTCCCCTATCCCGTGTGTCTGAGCACTACACTGCTGATTTCCACAGGCCTTGCAGAGTGAAGAAAGAAGCATGCCTCAAGTTTTATGCTTATTGCAGCAATGTTTTCAGTGAAAATTGCCCGAAATGTTTTAACGAAAGGTCTTCTTTGGGGTAAAAAGGTCTTCAGGTGTCTTATTCTGCTTCATTCATTGAAGCAACTTATTTATAGATCAATGCACATTTAGCAATATTTACGTAACAAATTATTGCTTTCAGTCACTGGCTTGCCTCTTCCTTTGCCCTTCCACTTTTCTGGCTGTGTGTCTACATTTGCACCTAACTGTAGCCCTTTTCAAAAGTTTAAAAAACTATTTACTGTCATCTTCAGAAAATGTGAAAATAGAAATCTGCAATATACTAAGTCAGACAATTAGTCCATCTAGTTTAGTATTGTCTACACTGAGTATCAATAACTCCTCAATATTTGAGACAACTTCCTTTCAGGAGATGTCAGGAATTGGACCTGGCCACTTTTATATGCAAAACATGTGATCTCCCACTGAGCCACATCCCTTCCTAACTTGTAAATGGGGAGCAGAATCTTATCAACAGCCCTCACCTTGTCCTCCATACAATCCATGTCATTGTAGCCCATTGGCTACAATGGATGAAGTATGAATTAATTGTCCTAAGCCAGTGCTTGGGAACTAGTGGTCCTCCAGATATTGTTTGCCTATAACACATCATCCTTAATGGCTGTGTTCTAGATGGGGCTGCTGTGAGTTGTGGAGTTCAACATCCTCTGGAGGACCACATATTCCTCACCCCTATATTAATCAATGCGTTGATTTTACCACCTCTCTTTTCTCTCCCCATCATCATGCCAACATCATGGCATTGTCTTTATCCAGTGGTTGGTTCTGTGCCAATAGAATGTTTGTGCCGTGGTTTAGAGCTTGACTGCGATGGTGCTGGTTTGCTCGTCATTCCTTCGGTCTCTTCTAATGTAACTTTGATGTAAGTAAAAAAAAAAAGCGGTAAATTCTCTGTTCAGCAGGTGGTAAAAGTTATTAGGGCTAGGTTACAACTGGTATGTAACCCACAAGGTGTTACTGGCAAAGCATGCAAAGATGCTCCTAAGCCAGTTTCTGAGAACCAGCTTAAAAGTGGATGTGAACAGAAAGTCCAGGATGCTGCTATCACCCTCAGATGAGATTCTTATTTAGTGCACACTGTACCACTTTGGAAAAGGGCAAAAAAGGAATAATAAACATCAATGCCATCTAGTGAGCAACAGGAATTATTTTTTAATTTTAAACGTGATTTTTTTTTAATGCTGGCACATGACTGCAAGACCAATATCTGATCATTAGCTATGCTGGCTGTAGGCTTATGGGAGTTGATGTTCAACAACATCTGGAAACCTGGGTTACCCAGCTCTGTTACATTTTGTAGTGACTCTTACAATAATGAAGGAATTCAGAGAGCAGGGGAGAAATAAAAGTTGCTCAACCTAAAACAAATAAAAGTTGCATCCTACCTAAAACAAATGGAAATACCCCTTTTAGCACATCGTTAAACTATGGAATTTGATGCTACATGATGTGCTGATGGCTACCAACTTAGATGGTTTTAAAAGCTTGGCAAGTAAGGATATAAGTGCTACTATAGCCCCAGGATACTTGAATAATTATTGCTGGGCAATAACCATGGGAAAGTGCTATTGTGCTGCTGAAGGGCTTCCCATAGACACCTTCTTAGTAACTGTGAGAAAGAGGATATTGGACCAGTTGAGGTTTTGGGTCTGTTCTTAATAATAGCTTTATTATTAGTGTTGAAATTTCTGGACCCATTTTTAAAGTTGAGGATGCTTATGAATTTGTGAATAAAGTTTGTTTGAAAATGGCCATCTTCGCCGCTCAGGATGCTTAAACTGAGCAGTGCTGAAGGACAGAAAAATATCTAATTTAAGGGCCATAGCACCACTACATTAAGAATCAACCTGAGCTTTCTAAATTGAGGCTTATTCTGTGTGTGAGCAAGTTTTCAACCTGCAGTTGTCTATCTGTGACTTGATATGTCCTTTTTGCAAAGAACCGAGTTTAATTTTTTATGCTCATTAGGTTGCTTAGTGAAAGGTGTGCTGAAGATCTGTTCCAGTCATGGAAGAGTAATTGTCTCATACGGCACAATTAAGAGACACCATAGGAAAATCCCTTGCTGGGTTGTGTGACTAAAGTATTTCCTGTATTGTGAGGACCTCTAGGGTTTATATTGTTAAGTGCAGAAAAACTTAAAAAAAGACTCTTTTTCATGAGTCTGTGTGGCGAATGTCCCTAAAAGGTTAACTGAAGATCTTCACAATTAACTATGTTTATGTTATGAACTAATTGATGAAAGTTATTAAGAACGTAAGACGATCCCTACTGGGTCAAGCCAAAGTTCTAGTCCAGGATCTGTACTCTTAGTGGCCAGTCATATGCTTATAGGAAGCAACACTGCTTTGCTCACATGCAATTCTCAGCAACCATCCAGAGACATTTTGCCCCTGAAATGGGACATAGTACATAGCCACTTCAGCTAGTAGCCACTAATAGCTTGATGAATTCATCCAAAACTGCAGTTGTTGAAAAAAACAGGCTGTTAGCAAATAATGCTCATGCACATATATACATTTATTTACATATTGATTGATTTATTTTGATCACTTGTCACCCATCCTTTAGTGTTTCCACTATCAAGGTGGCTTACACTAATACTGAGCAAGCAATAAAATCAACCTACATGGAATAATTTCATTTGTGGAAATGTTTGTCAACTGTATAACCTGGTATCAATAAAATGTGCATGTACAGTGTACTGGTTTGATGTATGCTGTGAGTCATTCATCTTTTGTCTGTTTGTTGTTGTGTTACAGGTCCCTAAAAGGGAATCAGCTGAGAAAGCTTATTGCCAATGTTTTCAAAAAATATCAGGATCTTCAATACCTGTAAGGCAACATTTTAACTTCAAATTACCAGCCTATTGCAACATAATTGTTTTGTGATGTAGTGACCAAGGATGAGTTCACACCTTACATTGATCATGGGAAGTGTTTGTTGGAACTATGGTTTGATCACTTGACTGCCTGACATGCTACTGTCATGGATCTGCTGGCTGTACAATTAACTGACATTGGGAGGCAAGTTGAGTGGTGATAGTTGTATCAAGTGTTTGTATGAACTCAGCCTGAAGCTACAATCCTAGCCACATTACTTGGGAGCATGCCCCATAGCATAATCTCTGATATGACCTATATAGGATTGCAAACACAAGGTTATGCTTCTAATTATGTCATGTACATGTAAACTGTTGAAACTGGTGGTATATGTATACTCAGAGGTATATATTTTCAAGATCCGGAGTAGAAAGGCTCCTATATGAACTACAAGCTCTAATATGAACATATTTATATTGTTCATTTTGGCTGTTCATTCATGCCTAACCAATTGTTTTATTAATATTTGAGTCTAACCAATGGATGGTCAAAAATAACCACTCAGATTCTTACTGGCAGTAAACTTATCCTAAAGTCGATCTTACTGTCCATCATATTATAAAGAAGTACAGTTTAGAACAGAGCAATACGACAAAGAACCAAAAGTAAACTTAGCAAAACAGTATGAGATTCACATATGGGTGGGTATTCTTTGTCCTTTAAATAAATTTTCATTTAATCATGATTAATTTGTTTTTTAAATGTGATCATTTATGAAATAATCTTGTACTGATTGAAATTTAGTTTTTTGGACAGAAAGAGAACAAGCATGTTGATTTTACTTTCCTTTTACAATATTTCTTCAAATGCCATATAGTTCAACCATTCTTGTATCTTGCACCCTCTTCTGGTCACACATTTAAGGACACTTATGACTGTAAATTCTGTAGGAAAATATAGTACAGTATTGTCATTGAAGGAGACAAATAGTGGAAATGCAGAATACAGTTGTTTGATTTGCTTTGGACATCTGCTCAGTTCTCTCTTGAAAGCCACAGTCAAGCTTCCCATATTTTAATTATAGAAGGGATACATTTTTAACATTAAATATAAAATATTGAGGTCCCTGAAAAGCTGAACTATATTATATTATTATTATTATTATTATTATTATTAAACATTTTATTGGTGGCCACCTATATCATTCAGGCTCTGTAAATATTTTTTTAATGATCTTCTATTGTCATTATCTTCACAGGTACCTTCAAAATAATAATATAAGTTTTGTGTCAGGACATGCTTTCAGAGGACTCTACAATCTGACAAAGCTGTAAGTACTTCCCCTGCAGTTCTACAATATATTCAATATATTCCCACATTAATAATTGTAATAATGACTTCAGTAGGTTCGTTGTCACATACATAAACAAAAAGTGTCATCCGCCATCCCAGTAAGAATCACCAAAATTGCCCAACTAATCTACAACCAGAAGCTGTCAATGGAAAACCCAGGGTGTACTGCTGCAGACAAATAAGTTTACAAACTCAGTGTGATATATGCCTAAATCTGACTGGTAGGGCAGATCCTAAACTCCCCACCTCACCCCTGCAGGCCATTTTGACAGGTAGGCAGGACAGTCAACCACCTGATGTTACCTGGTGTCACATGAGTCAACATCAAAGGAAGAATTGGCTTCTCACTTAATGTGTGATCCTGATACTTCCATTGCTTGCAGTCAAGCAATGCCAGCAAAGGAAGAATTGGGAGTGCACTCTTGTGTGCTCCTGATTCTTCTTTTCCAGCTGTAGGTCAAGGCTCTACAAAGTTATGGCGCTTTTCCACACACAAAAATCATGCTCAAAGTGGTCATTCTGAAAGGCCCTAGGGTTCCAAAGACCACTCTGAACAATTCAATAGGATAGAAAAATATGAATGGATGAAAAACCAAACATTGCTCAATGACCTTCTATTATGTTTTATTGGTCTTGTTTCAGATATCTGAGTCACAACAAGATAACCTTTTTGAAACCCCATGTCTTTGAAGATCTACATAAACTTGAATGGCTGTATGTACTGCCTTTGTATCTCATTAAGGCTACAATCCTGAACATACTTACTGGGGAATATAAATGATAAAGCGAGAAGAGGTGCTGTTTTAAGGATTAAATCCTATATAACAATATGGAGCATATCTGACTAGACAGACATGCATAAGATTGTTCTATATACAATGCACATCACAGCCTCTTCCCTATTTCTTGGCAAACACTTTGCCAAGAGAATGAGAAGAATCTCAGCTTTGCAGCGGTGGGGAAACTGGGTTGCTTTTTTCCTAAGGGAAAACTACTGTTTTGGAGAGAACTTTGCATCTCATGAAATGGAGGGGAAAGGAAAAATCATTAAGATTTGCTGTTAAATCCAAACAAAGATTGTTGCAATTTATCTATTTGCATTTCTGGAAGTATCCTCAGTGGGAGAAATGTTCACTCACATTTTTATTCCTTTAAGAAGCAGATCTAAATCAGTCCATTTGGAAGATGTGTTTTGACAGGGTTATCTCGCTTTCCCATTCCTGATTTTAGCTTGGACAGACATCTGTAACTAGACATCTTAACACTGTTACCGTATTTTAAAAAACAGAACAGTTTCATTGTTACTGGTAGTTGTGATTTAAAAGCAAACAATGCTGAGCAGAGGGCATTAGTGACATAGCTGTCAGTATTCTGAAGAATTAACTGCATGGCAACTTTTTCTACTGCACCTTTTCAAAGGAAGTATTGTCTTATGGGATCTGTGACATACAGCAGCTTCAAAATAATGTTCTGTGAAGTGTCAAAGTGCTCATCAAGCACTGCAGAAGCTGACAAGAAAATTGTTCATTTAAGTTCCTTTCCCACCCACCCCCAAACCTATTTTTAATCTCTCGGGGGGCGGGGGGGTAGTTTCTGTCATCATTTTGAGATAAGAACACACTTACCTAGAAGTGAAAGCCACCAAATTCAGTAGGATTTACTCTTGGGTAGACATGCGTAGGATTGTGCTGAGGATCACCTGTTTTAATTGAATTTTTAAAAGTTGTACTCATACGGCTATTTCCAGCAAGCTTTTTCTCCTGAAAGACAGTGGTTTCAGAAAAATTGCCTCTTAAATCATAGTCACCTTCAGTGTGGTCACGGCATTTGTGTGCCCATCTGAACCACAAACTGAAATGATTGTGTTGATTTCATACCAATAACTCTGTATGAATTGGCTTTCTGTGCTGCAAAGGTCCCCAGAGTCTCATTTGCAGTGGTTTGAAGGAAATGGATCTATCATTTAGTAGCTACATAAGAACCTGAGTTCACAGTATGGACTAGAACATAAAATGATTGGGACATTATAAGTGGTTGTATGATGCCATGATAGCAATCCATTTTTATCTACTGTTATAAATGAATATAGCTTATAAATCTGGGGGAAACAGGTTGCTATGACTTAGCAGTATTTTTAACCTAATATGCACCATTTTCTGATTTACAGCATAATTGAAAACAATACAATAAAATGTGTCTCACCACTAACCTTTTATGGGCTGAACTCACTAATTCTCCTGTAAGTATTGAGAAATTGATGTAAAATACGATTTATAATTTAAAAAAATACAAAAGCAAAGTGCTATGTTGAACAGGATAGTATCGCCAACCTCATCCCCACTCCCACCCCCACTCCACATGAGAGAATAAGTTAATGTACTCTAATCAGCAACACTTTACTATCTTCCCAGTGGTTTTTCACTTCAGAAACAGAAATAGGTATATTCCACTCTCTGCAGCCATTCTTTTGCTCTTAATATTATCATTACAGTGAAAACAAACAAACAAAACTTTAGGGGACCATTGGAATTAGTAGTTTAAATGAACTTGATTAACAAATATAAGTAAAGATTGCAAGAGGTTGCTTATAATAGAAATTGCTCGTTATAGAAAACAGTTTTCCCCATGAAATTTTAATATTCTTGTTTTGATATTATCAGCAAATGCAAATGGTTTTGCTGCTACAATGAAGTGCTGTTTATAAAATTGTTCATTGCAGCACAAACCTTTGTTGCAGCAAGAGAACAGTTCAGGTCTTTCTCCCTAATTTGGACTCCATTTTTAACTTTCTTAGCAGAAGTTGTTCTCTTTTTAAAGAGACCGCAGTTTTCCCCAGTTACACTGACCAGTTTAGGTTGTTCAGAAAGATTGAGAGAAGAGGGAGCTTTGTCAGAGCTGTATGTCCAACAGTGAAGTGGTACCACCATCCTCTTACAGTGACAATACTATGTTACCCATATTTCTAAGTGGAGCATTGGGTTCTGAAACATCTCTACAAGGGAATCAAACACACATGAAAAACCTTCTACAGTACTCTTGAAGATTATTTTAAAATAACTGCTGAAACCCAGATAACCATCTTTCCAGAATCCATCAACCTAATAATATTGTTTTTCTTTCTCTAGAGTTCTGATGAACAATTCTCTTGCCCAGTTGCCTGATAAACATCTTTGTCAACATATGCCAAGGATAAACTGGCTGTGAGTCCACGTTTTCCTATGTTGCTTTATCATTAGATTTGGTTTGAATCAAATGTGTCCCATTTCTTGTTCATAAAGATTCTCTACAAGAAAAGATTTAGCAATTATGTGTTGAAAACAAGAAAAAATAGTTATTTCTTATCACAGGAAAGGCAGGTTTGGGCTTCTGCAGTGACTATTTATTGGACTGCATTTCTGTTGATTCCAGTGAAGTTTGTTTGTTTGCACTGAAATGTGGTTTCTACAATAGTTCTGGTGGAAAAGACAACATGCATGCAAAGAGTCCTACCATATTATCAGTCTGTATAGAAGTATCTGAGGAATATTTGCTGTTAAGAATTAACAGGAGATTTCCTTTTCTTTCCCCAGGGACTTTGAAGGCAACCATATCCACAATTTCAGGAATGTCACTTTCATCTCCTGTAGCAGTTTAACAGTCCTGTGAGTTTAAAACATTACTATTGACCCAGAAAAAGACCTTAATGGTCCTAGCAACTTACCTGCATGGGCCTTGCTGGAGAAGGAATTACATACAGCTATGGAAGAATCTATGTAACCATTAAGTCAACCTTGATTGCTCAAGGCATATGGAGCAGAGCCTGATCTGAAGATCTTAGTGAACCAGAGAAGGGATGGGGAACCTGTGTCCCTCCAGATGTGGCTGAACTCCCATCTGTCTCAATTAGCATGGCAAGTGCTATGGGATGATGGGAGTTGTAGTCCAACAACATCTGGACAGTAAGTTGTAGTCCATCAATATCTAGTTCCCCATTCCTAGGTCAGAGACTACAAATGATTAGAAGAAGTCTCATCTTAAAACCCACTAAAATAGCTTTTATCATTTCAGCGTTTTGAGAAGAAACAAAATCAGCTCTGTAAATGAAAATAGCTTCTCTGCTCTTCAGAGATTAGCTGAACTGTAAGTAAACATTTTCCCTGAGAGCAGGTTACCCACTTTTTTGTGATCACATCCTGTAAGCAAGCATATATTTTATATTATTGTGACAGTGTGTGTTTAGTCCTTCAAGCACTAGAGTCAAATTGTCTCAAAAATGGGGAGGGAGTCAGTCAGGACTGGGACAGTGGCAAAAGGAGAAGGGGGAATTAAAGAAGACAGAATTAGGGTGCTTCTTAAGTTTTGAAGCATTGATGGCAAAATAAGCATTCTGTTTACTAAATTCTGGGGATTTTCCCCCCACAGAGACTTGGCTAACAACAAGATTGAATCGCTTCCTCAACACCTATTTAAGGATCTGAAAGAACTCTCACAGCTGTAAGATCTGTAATAAGTCCATTGTTCTTTGAATGTAAATGTTTTTAATTGTTTTTCTCTGGTTTGAAATCGTGTTAGAATGAAAAGGTGCACCTGCATATTATATGGATGAATTCTTTTTGAGATGGCTGTCCCCAATATTTTTGCTTTGATGTCTGTTATGCTAAATTAAGATCACTTTCCGAGATTAGTATTGCCTATTGTTTGTAATTTTAGGCTGCAATGTTGTACATACCTGCTTACCTAGAAGCACAACCCATTGAACTCAATGGTATTTACTTCTAAGCAGACATGCATATTAGGACATACAGTCCCATAACTCCAGGACTTACAAAGTGAGATCTTCTAAGTGAGAAGCTTCAGTAAGAGTTTTCAATATAATTTCAAATCCCGAAGCAGAAGAAAAAGCAAAGATTATTTACTTCAGTTAGGTCACTGCCAGTTTGTTTGCTTTTTTAAAGGAAACAACTACTCTTTTATCTACAACTCAATATACTGAGTGAATAAAGGCACAGTTTCTTATATAAATGCTACTTTAATTAATTTTTCTGGGCCAGTTGTGGGTTTTGTTGTTTTTGGCAATTGTTATTTGTTGAATCTGTTTAGTCACAATTTACACTCAACTGCACAATCAATATTAATATGCACATATTTTCATTTTTTGGTAATTGAGTCATGATAATCAAGTACACAAGACAGAACAATAAAATTGCCATTTAAGCTATGACTTACTCTGTTCTTTTGACAGAAATCTTTCATACAATCCAATCCAGAAAATAGAAGCAAACCAGTTTGATTATCTTATTAAACTCAATTCACTGTAAGTGTGTGTCTTCCTTTTGAACAATCTTTCATCAGCTAAGACAATGCTTCTAGTATTTAGCTATTCTGTTTTAGAACAAGTAAATTTTGAATTATGGATAAAATATGATGTACCAAGGTTAATTGGAAATGGCAGAAATAATTGATATATGCCTTGATTAATGTAGTTACTTTAGTCCTTAGAAACCTTCAAATCACAAACTATATAAAAACAAAGGAATCTGGCTATATTTAGAAAAATTCTAATTATTAAATTTGACTGTTAAATAGTCCAATAAACAATAACAGCCTTCTTTCGAATATTTAGGATTCTCATGCAGCTGCTAGCCTACTATGTGCCTTCAATTAAGTCAAAATACTTGGCACATAATTTTGACATCACAGACTTTAGTGTGCTTTGAGCTCAAAGCACTGTATTCAGTAAACTATGTGTTACCATTAATTAACTTGCCAATAAAATACCGGTACATTTTAAAGATACATATGTTATGCTGAAGGAGCAAATTTATTTTTCAGTAAGTTCCCTATTAATAAGACATAAACTCTGTTTCTAATGTTTATAGAAGCCTAGAAGGCATTGAAATTACAAATATCCAAAGAAGAATGTTCAGCCCACTTAAAGAGCTTTCCCATATGTAAGTATCATCTACAAAAAAAACCTTAACAAATAGCAAGGATATATACCTAACCTATCATCTCCCATAGAAAGGTAGCAGGGAGACCTGCTAAGACAATTCTTTGAGATCTTCTGTGTGCTAGATAGATCAGTCGATTTATTTGATTCCATTAGCAAGCTTTCTCCTAATCTGGGGAACCGGGTTCGTGTCTCCGCTCCTCCACTTGCAGCTGCTGGGTGACCTTGGGCCAGTCACACTTCCTTGAAGTCTCTCAGCCCCACTCACCTCACAGAGTGTTTGTTGTGGGGGAGGAAGGGAAAGGAGAATGTTAGCCGCTTTGAGACTCCTTAAAGGGAGTGAAAGGCGGGATATCAAATCCAAACTCTTCTTCCTCTTCTTCATAAGTAAAAATTTTTTTACATAATTGTGCCCTTCTACACTTCATGCTTGGGACGCGGGTGGCACTGTGGGTTAAACCACAGAGCCTAGGACTTGCCGATCAGAAGGTTGGCGGTTCGAATCCCTGCGACAGGGTTAGCTCCCGTTGCTCAGTCCCTGCTCCTGCCAACCTAGCAGTTCGAAAGCACGTCAAAGTGCAAGTAGATAAATAGGTACCGCTCCGGCGGGAAGGTAAATGGTGTTTCCGTGTGCTGCTCTGGTTCGCCAGCGGCTTAGTCATGCTGGCCACATGACCCGGAAGCTGTACGCCGGCTCCCTCGGCCAATAAAGCGAGATGAGCGCCGCAACCCCAGAGTCGGTCGCGACTGGACCTAATGGTCAGGGGTCCCTTTACCTTTACACTTCATGCTACACAATTTATTGTGCAAAGCCTTATGCATCCCTGAACATAAATATGATAACTGTTTAGTGCTTGGACACACTGTCATCAGGATTGTTGCCATAGCTAATGCCAATTTCTACAACAAAACATAAAATCCTATACAGTGGTGCCCCGCAAGACGAATGCCTCGCAAGACGAAAAACTCGCTAGACGAAAGGGTTTTCCGTATTTCGAGTCGTTCCGCAAGACGAATTTCCCTATGGGCTTGCTCGTTTCGTCTTGCGAGTTCTTGCGAGTTTGTTTCCTTTTTCTTAAAGCCGCTAAGCCGCTAAGCTGTTAATAGCCGCTAAGCCGCTAAACCGTTAAAAGCCGCTAAGCTGCTAATAGCTGCTAAGCCGCTAGTAGCCGTGCTTCACAAGACGAAAAAACCGCAAGACGAAGAAACTCGCGGAATGGATTAATTTCGTCTTGCGAGGCACCGCTGTATATAGAGGTTACTGTACATGAATATGCAATGTGTATTTATCAAGTATCAACTAAATAAAATTCAGGTCATTTTGAGTTGGGTTTGAGCCCAACATTGGGCAAAAAGATTCCTGCATTGAAGGGTTTGGAGTGGATGACCTGTGTGGTCCTTTCCAACTGTATGATTCTCTTTACCTTATTTTAGTTTGTACTAGTTCAAGGAATATATGCATTGTATTATAAGGCATACAATCCTGTACACCAAAGATTGATATGCAAATTCCCTCTGCTTTTTTACCCTCCAGATATTTCAAAAAATTCCAGTATTGTGGCTATGCTCCCCATGTACGCAGCTGCAAACCAAATACTGACGGAATCTCCTCCTTTGAGAACCTCTTGGCCAGCATTATACAGAGAGTATTTGTCTGGGTTGTGTCTGCTGTCACTTGCTTCGGGAACATCTTTGTCATCTGCATGCGGCCTTACATTCAGTCGGAGAACAAACTCCATGCTCTGTCGATAATGTCACTCTGCTGTAAGTATCAAGGCATGCCTCGCTCTTTGCTAGATTTTCACCAGAGGTTATTTAAAGAGAGTGTAAATGAGGCTAGTACAAATAACATACAGTCACATGTTTTCTCCATAGGTGCAGATTGCCTCATGGGAATATACTTGTTTATGATTGGAGCCTTTGACCTGAAATACCGTGGGGAGTACAATAAGCATGCTCAGTTGTGGATGGACAGTATCCATTGTCAGCTGGTGGGATCTCTGGCTGTTCTATCTACAGAAGTATCCGTTTTATTGCTAACCTACCTGACTTTGGAAAAATACATCTGCATAGTTTACCCATTTAGATTCTTGAGGCCAGGAAAATATAGGACAATTTCCATATTAGTTCTCATCTGGATGATAGGGTTTGTAGTTGCTTTTATTCCACTCAGCAATAAGGATTTTTTCCATAACTACTATGGCACTAATGGTGTCTGTTTCCCTCTCCACTCTGAGCAGTCTGAAAGTACTGGAGGTCAGATTTATTCTGTCATAATTTTCCTAGGTAAGTAAACCCCAGGTTCATTTCTCCCCAAAGCAAGTCCTTTATGTTCATGACTGCCCTGATCCTGTAATTATCAGTGCCTCCCTCAGGCCATCTGAAGCAATTTGCATTTTTTAAAACCTGTGTGTTAAATTCATGTCAGATTATACATAATTTGGACAGAAGACCCTATTCTAATCTGCTCATACTCTGAATATAGATGCTCATCTTAATGTCTGCTTTCATCTATGAAACACAATTTTATATAGTTTTTCTTAATTCTCGTTTTACAGCACTGAATATTCATTGTGAAATAATGAATTTATAGGTTAAATCACATATATTACTGTGAAGAACAGCTGTAACCTACAAACTGCTTAAACCATAGAACTCACACAGAAGTTAGCAAGACTAAACAAGAGTCAATTAGTCTGCATACATTATTGTTAATGGTGTTTTAATGCTGCAATCTAAAAAGCAGTTACGTCAGCAAATGCGAACTTACAGATAGATATATTTCAGTTCTGAACCTTTTACATTTGTACACCATACATACTAGTCATCAGATTTTGAATTTTAACCTGGCAAAGAGACTCCTAAATAGAATTAAAACTATTTCTATTTTGCAACAGGTGTAAATTTGGTAGCGTTTATCATCATAGTATTCTCCTATGGAAGTATGTTTTATAGCGTCCATCAGACAGCGATTACTGCAATGGAAATCCAGAATCATGTGAAGAAAGAGATGACCCTTGCCAAACGCTTTTTCTTCATCGTATTTACGGATGCACTATGCTGGATACCCATATTTACACTAAAATTGCTTTCCTTACTTCACGTAGAAATTCCAGGTATTGCCAATTTCCTTCCCGATTTCTCTGTTGTTGTTGTTTTCAGTCTGTAATAGGGAACTCAAGGGCAACTTACTACTCCTGGACCATAGAAGAGGGCAAGTGGGCAAATCTAAAATAGTGTGGGCCCTGCATTTTAAAAAATGCACCATCCTCATCCTTTAATCATCCCTGCTCAGAGTTCCAACTGTCTATGCCTGCTTCCAAGACACTATAAGATGTAAGCTCAATAATGCAACTGTGTCCTTCTACTGCTCCCCCTTGTGATTTTTTCTTTTCTAAATGATGCTTAGAATTCCATTTTACTTACTTGGAGCTCGTTGCACAGGGACGGGCTTTTTGCCCCCTTTGTTTTTTGTGAGATGTTAAAATTGTACTTCTTGGGCTTCCTAACAGCATGCTAACACCTCCCTATTCTTTCTCTGTTGCTCTGTTTGGCTCCAGCCCTTTGTAGTCAGCTACCCAATTTTACTGTTGGAGGAAATGAGGCCTATTTACTCTAATGCACATTAGAATATCAATCAATATGTTCAAATGTTTGGTAAGATTTGAAATGTTGCATATATCTACAGTAATATCTGGTCTAGTAACATCCTATAGCATAGGTGGGGAAAACCTTTGGCCCTCCAGATGTTGAACTACAACTCCCATCATTCCTGACAATTGGTCCTGCTTGCTGGGGTGGATGGGAGCTGTAGTTCAGCAACATCTGGAGAATCAAAGGTTCCCCACACCTGCCACAGCATATACCACGTTTGTTAAAAACACACAGGCACAATTAAGTGAATCATGTTTTTCTCCCTTCCCTTTAGGTTCTATAACTTCCTGGGTTGTGATTTTCATATTACCAATAAATAGTGCCTTGAACCCTCTTCTCTATACATTAACCACCAGGCCTTTCAAGGAAATGATTAATCAAGTTTGGCACAATTACAAACAAAGAAGATCCTTGGGAGGCAAAAACAACCAGAAAATGTATGGTCCATCATTTATCTGGGTAGAGATGTGGCCTACGGAAGATACCTCACCAGAGTTGACAAATCCTGCCAATTTTACAGATTCCTCTGAGAGTTAAGTAAGTTGACATTCAGCAAGCCTGAAAAAGACACATGAAAATGATTCAGAACAAGTTAAGTGCATTAAGACTTGCACACTCAGCACTGTTATCTTGAAGATCCTGCCACATAAAGCTGCAAAGAAACAGACCCCTTGCTCCAGGCCATGGAATCATTTTTAAGCATGACAGAAGACAAACTACTGAGCTACCATGACATGCATCTATTAACAACCTTTAGAAGAACTAGCCATATGGAGAAGAGGTTGGAATTAATGGGGGAAGTGCTTATCCTGGTGAATTTGCATTGTGGAATTGATGAGGAAATAGAAAGTGAAAGAAACTTGGTCAGAATGTAAGGACTACTTTACATCTTCTGACAGTTCTAAAACACTTTTTAATTTGCAAGGTTTGTGGTAACAGTTCTTCTCAGTGACCAGTATTATATCTAACTTGTAGGCAGTATTATCTAAAACACCAACACAAAAGCTGAAGTGTCACAAATTATTTAATATTTATAAATACAACTGGGCTACTTTAGTTCCGCAAGTCTGAAAACAGTCAATTTCCTTGCAGTACAGTTTAATATGGGAGACAGCATTTTCTATTTCCAAGTTCGCAAGGTGAAGGAGCAAATAAATATAGGAATGGCAATGAGAGATTTCATAGATGTTTGCACTGGATTTCTCAAAGGATTTAAGAATAGAAGTTATATAGTTGCACTTTAATGTTTACAGATTTTTGGATTATCTTGAACTTGGCTGAAAAGAATGTTATTTTATATCTAGTTTCTACTAATATGTACATATGTTGTTGTGTTTGCAAATGAAGCACTGCCTGAGGAAACATGATCCAATAATATTTAAACTCTGTTTAAACTATATATTCATATACAGCTATTTATGCTTAGCTTTACTACTGTATTTGTGAAGATTTGGAGTTCATTAATGTAAAATAGTTGTATTTCTAAGTAACACTGTCTTATTCATTCATTAAATACATATCTATTCGACCCTTCATCAAAAAATGATGTAACAAAGCAGAGTGCAGTAATGAACAGGAAAACAGTATCTACAATAAAACCATCAAAGCTATTAAAATATCACAATAAAACCAACATAAAATAAAATAAGGAAACAGACCTTAAGTCTCATCAGTTTGTAGATCTACAAAAGCCTGATTAAAGAGGTACGTTTTCAGCTGGCTCCAAACAGTAACCACTGTTAGTACTAGCACAGAACAAGTGTCGCCACAGAAAACATCCAATTCCAGCTCATAACACAGTGTCCTTTTGCAATCAGCTTGACCACAATGTCCTCTCCTATAGATTTTAATGCATAGGCATGTTATATAAGGACAGGTGCTCTTCAGCTGCTTGGATCCCCAGTCTTTAACACCATGAATTGGATCAAGTAACATACAGGCAGCCAGTAAAGAGCCTTCCTGTGTTCTGGCTGGCTGCATTTTGCAGACCATCTACAAGAGTAGCTCCAGACAGAATGCATTACAATAGTCCAACTAGGAGATTGTAAAGGTAAATGGACCCCTGACGATTAGGTCCAGTGGTGACTGACTCTGGGGTCACTTTATTGGCTGAGGGAGCCGGCGTACAGCTTCCAGGTCATGTGGTCAGCATAACTAAGCCGCTTCTGGCGAACCAGAGCAGCGCACGGAAACGCCGTTTACCTTCCCGCCGGAGCGGTACCTATTTATCTACTTGCACTTTGACGCGCTTTAGAACTGCTAGGTTGGCAGGAGCAGGAATCGAGCAACGGGAGCTCACCCCGTCGCGGGGATTCGAACCACCGACCTTCTGATCGGCAAGTCCTAGGCTCTGTGGTTTAACCTACAGCGCCACCCGCGTCCCCAACTAGGAGATTACCCAAACGTAATTACTGGGGCTAGGCTAACACAGTCCAGGAACAGTCAGTTGGTGAGTGAGCCACTCTGGGCCACTGAAGTCACCTGAACAACCAAGTGACAATGCTGGATCCAGGACTATCCCAGGCTATATATCTAATCCTTTGTAGGCGTGGTTTTCAGTTGCCCATACCTTAAACTCTGTGTAAGAGCCACTTCAAAGCCCTGCTTAGATGCTCACATATGATGACAGCTATGTTAATAGACAGTGGTCTGTTATGAAACTTAAATCTGCATGAAGCTAGGCAAGTTCCATCCACCAACATCTCTAAATAATTATATTTTTACTGCTGCTTTGAATGGCTAGTTTTCGTCTGTTTATTAGATATGGGTGTTAGCTGATGCTGGTTTCAGTAATATTTTTTACTATTTTAAAGCATCTGTTTTTAAAAGTATACAATAGTCTATTTGTGTATATTTTTGTAAGTTGCCTTGGAAAACATTTTGTTGGAAAATCAGTCTATTTTTTTAATAAAAAATAATAAAGCTTGTTGCGTTAACTAGAACTGAAAGTATTCAGAGCAAGTTATTCAAAACAGAAACTGTGAAAGAATTGTGTAACTTTCACTTCTGTAAGCGATAAATTCTGGATTTTTTCCATGACGTTGGTAAAGTGATGGAGGGACAAAGAATAATGTGAATATGTGCATCTTCATCTAGGACTTGATAGTCACAAATTCTGATGCTCTTGCCCAATAATATGGAAATGTAAAGGCTAAGTATACAGTATACAGAAGGTAAAGGTAAAGGGACCATTAGGTCCAGTTGTGGCCGACTCTGGGGTTGCAGTGCTCATCTCGCTTTATTGGCCGAGGGAGCCAGAGTACAGGTTCCGGGTCATGTGGCCAGCATGACTAAGCCACTTCTGGCGAACCAGAGCAGCGCACAGAAACGCCGTTTGCCTTCCCGCTGCATATGGGTAATAAGGTCATTCATTAAATCCTCCAGTTTAACTATTTCAAGTGTTGTAAGACTTCTTAACACATTACTTACGTGTATGGCATGCACTGTTTGAAGCCAGAGCAAGGCTACATTTAGCTCCACCTTCCAACAATTATACATTAAACAATTGTCTGCAGAGAAACACATATGTGTGAGCAGCTGCTTGTGCTGAAATATTTCCCTACAGACAGCTATATTAATGTAGTAACGTTTAGGTGGAAGAGTGACCCTGCTCTAACTTGAAACTGTGAGTACCCTACATCCAAGTAACATGTGACTAGGGCTATAGCAATCATTCACACACACCAAGATTGCAGAAACTCTGGGTGGATGACTTCATATGTTTTCTGTTGTAGCAATTATAATGCACTGTACTGGGCGATGTATGATTTTTAATTGTATTTTTATTGCTTTTTTTCCCCCTCATACATTGTGTGTTATTGTATTACAATCCAGGAGAAATAAAAGCAATAAAAATAGAATTTAAAATAAATACAAATATTTAATGCAATGGATGTACCATCTCCCATCTCCAACCAAAAATCCAAAGAAACAGCACAGAGCACCTAAATGGTTTGGGGAAACCTCAGGTTATACTGTATCTACTATTCTGTAGAATTTGATTTGGTGTTTCTTCCACAAACTATAGGAGTCATTAATATATTTGAGTTATCATTAGCATGGGTTTTTGTTCAGCTGGATCAATTTATTCTGCTACTACAGTTTTGATTGGAGCAGTTTTTCTAATTGTCTGGCCTGCTATTTTCTGCAAAGTCTCCATATCCATAAGCCTAATAACCCACTTCAAGGCTCTAGAGCCACAATTAGCCCATATTCAGATAGAGGCAAATTTTAAGGTATACTGGCTACTTAATCTGAAATGCTAGAGAAAAGATGAGTCTTTCCAACATTATACCAATATACTTTATTAATACAGTAACACTTAGATACACTGAATTTATTTGGAAATGTAATTATTTGTTTTCCTGTTATTTAACTTAAATGCTGTTTCCAGGATGAAAACAAAAGGCAGGTAATTGGGTTGGAGCCAGAATGTTACCTGTATTTACCCAGTGATTTCAATCTGTACAAAGTACTAATGAAATCATCATATTCCTTTCAATGGGGCTTAATGCAACTAAATTAATTTGCATACAGTCCTTGTTTACAAATAACATTGTTTCCTCAATTTATATTCAAAGTATCAGATTTACAATATGCTGGTAAGATTACACACTGTCATATATATTTGAACCCTGTATGTCATTAGAACTGCACAATAAATAAGAGAACTTGCATCTTTTAGCAGGAGATAAAATTCTATGATCTATCATGCATAAGGTTCTATACTCAGTTTATTTTGTCAAAACATACTCTGATCACATGTTCAAGACATAAAAATATGATTTAAAAATTCTTAAGAATATATTGAAGCAGTCAAGAAAACAGCAACCAGTTTCCAGACAGCCATAGTCACACCTCTTTAGTGAAGAAAGTGTTGAATGTTACTTAGTTTAAGAGGATTAAACACAGCTGTTTTCTGTACAATTAAATATTTTAGCCTAACAGTCCATAGACCTTATACAATGAATTCTATGGGTGTTACAGTCATCCATAACTAGTAAAATTCCAAGTAACAGTCAAATGAAATTCTTAATCACTATTTCAGTCTGATCTCCAGCCCTTTAAGAAAACTATTTTTATAGCACATCCTTCAGTCATTCCCTAGGAACAAATTATCCAGCATGCTTCAAGGTATTTAAGGGAGCTGCTTTATTTGTATTATGAAGTTAAAAACCACCGTTCTGTTTTTTCTTTGCAGATTTAAAATGAAGGCTTGTTGAAGTAGTTCTATCTCTCCATATGAAGGTAGTAAAAAGTGTTATGTGCTGTTGGCCAGTCTTGCCTTTGGTTTCCTTAAACAGTTAAAACAGCAACATTGTATGGGTGTTCAAATCACTCAGTGGGTTTCAGGGAATTGTATCCTTCTTTTAGAAGACTCCGCCATGTTTTAAGAAATCTAGCGTGTTCAGTACATTTGGTTTCAAGTTCTTCTACCTGGGCTGACACTGCAGATGTGGCCTCCAAAAGCTTGGTGAGTGAAAATGCTGCCTGCAATAAAAAGAAATTTTCAGTTTCCGCAGCAATTATTATTAGTTTACTTTCCGTCCTAGATAAAATGCAGTCCATTAAAATGTCATTTTCTAGCTACCATATCTAAAAGCAACCTTCCTTCCAAGGACACATATTTGATGGTGGAGGAAAGGCCCTCTTTCCATTGGAAGAAAGGCCCTCTTTAATTTTTTTATTATTTTTTTTGCTTAATCCCTACTATTGCAATAAATAAGAAAACAAATAGCCTTAAAATCTAAAGAAATATGCCCAAATGATTAAAACTGGAGAACTCGAAAAGCTTCATTTAGTTAATTCATCTGTTGCATTATTTTATTTATAAAAGTATTTCTATACCAACATATCATAAAATATCAGGATGGTATACAATGTTGAAACATAACACATCATCAAAACAATACAGTTTACCAAAAATGACTGGCTCAACAAAAATTACACAGCTGCAAAGACATGTAAGTACACCTGAAAGTCAAAAGCAAGTATGGATGTCTGCCGATGAGTTTTCCAGAGCATGGAACTATCAACAGTAAATGCCTAACTTCTAGTTGAGTTGGATGATCTGTGATCAAGCTGGGGTATAAGGATTCAAATAGCCCTTAAAATGTCCTAGGACCTAGACCCATGTTGTTCAGGGCTTTGTAAATCAACACAATAGCCATGAACCTGGCCCAGTAACATATGGGCAGCCAGAGCAGATGTTCTGACACAAGTGTCACATTCTGTCACCCATCTGCTCCCATCAGCAGTTTAAATGTGACATTTTGCACCAACTGGAGTTTCTGGACCAAACCGATGTAGAGCACATTGTAATAATCCAGTCTCATGGTTACCAGTGTGCATGGACTACAGTGGTCAAGTAATCCCAATTCAGATGCAGCTGTCGGTGACGTACCAAAGCCACAGAGGTTGCTTGAGCCTCTAGTGGCAGTTATATTTCCAGGAGTAGCCCCAACCTAAAGGAGCACCTGCTCCTTTAGAGGAACCGCAACTCCGTACACAATAGTCAAGTGGTCCACAATCACTTTACCACCCCATCTCATGCCAGACATTTAAAAAATGGCAACATCTCTAGCAAGTTCAGTTCATTTTACTCATCTTTGCTTACTGAAGGGGGAGATAATCCTCTTCTGTGCAGAGCTCTTCTCCAAGAGGTGGAGGCAACTGCTAATACTTATATACTGATCAACCAGGTTCGGTTTCTCTGCAGTGGGGTCCCAGGGATGTTTATTAGGAGAGAGCCCCCCCTCCCTCCCAAACGACGCTTTAAAAATAATGTTATGTTGAATTGTTACCTCCAATGATGATGATTGAGTTTTCCAATTTAAGTGCTTCTGCACTCTTTTTATCTATGCAGGATTTTTATATCTGATCGTGTTTCCCTCCCCTTTCGCAAGCCATTTTATTATTTCTTTCTTTCTTTATTATTATTATTTTTATTTATTGAATTTATGTACCGCCCTATACCCGGGGGGGTCTCAGGGCGGTTCACAGAATAAAATCAAGATATAAAACCACAAAATACCTAATAAAAACAAAAACAACAACCCAATAGCCAACAACCCAATAGTAACAAGAAGTGTGTGTGGGGGGGGGTAATAAGAAATATATAGGATTGCACACACCCCCGATGCTGCTGGGCCACTCACACGTGCAGACACGAGGAAGGGCAAAGACTTGTGGCCTTCCGTGCAGCAACCCATATACTGTGTGATAGGAGAATGCCAAGGGCCTTGAAGGGAGGCCCAGCAGAACAAAACCCCGAAGGGAGGAAGAAGACTCACGTCTCCCAGCTGCATCTCCACCATCTCCAGTAGCCCGCGAGGCGGCTCTGCCAGTTGCTCCTGGGGTGGCGTGGCTCGGCCGGGAGCGCTCCTGGCCGCGGAAGAAGTCACAGTCGGCGCCTCCGCCATCCCGCCGGACTCAAAATAACCGCCACTCGCTTCCTCGCCAACTGCCGCGGGCTGAGTGGGAGGCGGGAGGCGCGAGTTCAAAGCCACGCCCACTCGCCCGTGACGACACAGCTGGAGCTCCGCCTACAAAAATGGAAATAAGGGCTCGCCTCAAGGAATCTGTCACCGTTGCCTGTCACTGACGTAAGGGGTTCAACATCCGCCGATCACTCTCGGTTACCTCACCCTCTACTCCATAGAGAAAGGAAAAATGTAGAAGTGACCCAGAGCAGGGCAAACTGGGCAAAAGAAAAAAGGAAAAAAGAAAGTCGCTATTGGCTATGATGCCCCATAGGTGCAAGCGTGTGGTCAGTGCATTGTATTTGCGTGACTGCTAGGGGAATAACTCGGGAAAGCAGTTCAATACCTATGCCCTTTTAAAATCTGTTACTTTTGGGGGGGGCTATCGGGTTGTTGTTTTAATTCTTATTATGTATTTTGTGAACCGCCCTGAGACCCTCGGGTATAGGGCGATATATTAATCAATCAATCAACCAATCAAAATATTTTGAACCGGAAGTCAACAAGGACTGCAATCGCGTGTCACTCTTCCCTTTTTTCTCTACGAACTCGTCATGAAACAAAGTGGCAGCCCGGAACTACTTTTCCCGGCGTGCATTTCGCCACTCCCGTCGCCCTCAAGTCCGGCGGACAGACTCGTGAATATGGCGCAGCCCTTTCCTGCGGGGCATCCTGGGAATTATAGTTTGTTTGTTTTTTAAGTTTGTTTGTTAATGGGCTGTCACTCTGGGAGGTCGCGCCCATTTCCCAACGTGTGTCCTGCCTGCGCAAGTTAACTTCGACGCCAGCGAATTCTGCTCGTGGCTTCTGCAGCTGCTAGAGAACCCGAAGGAACATGGGGGCCGAGCTGTAAGATCCCCGTGAGACTCTGCAAAGCAAGCGAGGGAGACAGAGGACAGCGCCTGTGGGAGGACCCCCCCCCAAAAAAAAAGGCTGGTCGCCCACCCACTCCTTTGGATCGCCAGGAGCCTTCTCGCTAAGCGCCATGCTGCTTCCTGCTTGCAAAGTTTCCCGTCAAGGTAAAGTGCATTTAAATCCTGCTTTCCGGACGTGCCGTGGCGAGTAAGCTTCGCCCTGGATCTCCATAATGTTTTGCACGCTTGTGTTTTGTTTGTCGATAAGCTATCTCTTTCTTTCACGAAGAGCATTGATTCAGGGTCAATGCTCTTGTGCATGCATGTCCAGCACATTAGGAATACAGTAAATGTGCATTCAATCCTGGTGTAAGTCATGGCTCCCACCATTAGAAGTGAGAAGTGGAAAATGAAAGCAGTGGCTTTGCTCTGGGTGAGCGTTGTCCCCCCTCAGCTTGATTCTGGACCCGCCTTGCTCCTTGGCCCCTGACGAAATGTGCTTAGGCTCGATGGCAGCTGTCAGGGGATTAAGTAGCAATGCTGTGTTGATTTGTGTCTCTCTGTGTAAGGGAAGGGGGAGTGTCCAACAGTGCAAATGTGCACGGAGCAGCTCTGTGAGTCAGAGGTGTTGTCGGGGTTTGATTTTGAACCCCACCTGTCAAGCCTAAGAAAAGGCAAGGCCGTGACCTTAGTATGCGCAGACAGAGGTCAACAGAATGGGGTTGACAACAAAGCTACAAGAAAGAAGTCGCCTTTTCACGTGGGATTGCTGACCCACACCAAATATTTATTTATTTCAGAGCTGACCCTGGGTATTTCTCTTCTTTCGTCTCCCCCTGCTGGCCAGAAGTAAAATCAGGGTAAAGGTCACCTGTAGGATCTCTTACAAAACAGATCTTGTTTGGACAGAGACCAGTCCTTTTGTGGAAGGGAGACTCTTTAAAAAAGCCCCGCTTATGTCTCAGCAGTGATTGTTATGAATCCTTTGCAAGAATCTTAAGAACCAGCTTGGAAGGACAGAAATGGAGGCTTGAAATGTTCTTGCTGGTGTTTTTTGGTCTCCGTTTCCTCCACTTTTCTTTCATCTCTACCTGGTAGAAGTCTACCTGAAAATCATAGCCTCTGATTTGAAAGATCTTACTCCAATGATTGGTTGCTGCTGGTTAAGGAGTAAGAGGATGTGATTGTCAGCCACGTAGAGCACATGAGATGAGGGAAAACCGGCTTCCTACCACGTTCAGAAACCTACCATTATCAGTTCTTTAGGCACCAGTGATGAATGGTCATCTGGATTTTTCCATCATGTGGTAATATAGCAGTGATAATAGCTTGCTGCAATTGGCAAGCATAAGAAAAGTAGGGCAGAAGTAGAATAGCTTGGTTCTCCTTTACATACTAATAATGTTAAGTGCAAATAATTGTATGTTTTACCTAGAAGTCCTTTATGAAGTAGAAAGCCTAAATGGCCTCAGTCCAGTATACCTGAAGGAGCATCTCCACCCCCATCGTTCTGCCCGAACACTAAGGTCCAGTGCCGAGGGCCTTCTGGCGGTTCCCTCACTGCAAGAAGCCAAGTTACAGGGAACCAAGCAGAGGGCCTTCTCGGTAGTGGCACCCACCCTGTGGAACGCTCTCCCACCAGATGTCAAAGAGAAAAACAACTACAGTACCAGACTTTTAGAAGGCATCTGAAGGCAGCCCTGTTTAGGGAAGCTTTTGATGTTTAACAGACTATTGTATTTTAATATTTTGTTGGAAGCTGCCCAGAGTGGCTGGGGAAACCCAGCCGGATGGATGGGGTATAAATAAATTAATAATAATAATAATAATATTTTATTATATTATAGTAGCATGGGGGGTTGATGAATTGTTTAAGTATATATTATCAAGGGACTGACTGCTGTCACACATTGCCAGATAGTCTATATAGCCTGCTTTCAGACAGGTGGCTCCTAGTGTTAATAAGCAATGCTCTTTTACTGTATACTACAAGTGCAATTGATTTTCCACACTGCTGGGAATGTTGCACTTATTCTGTATGTTCTTCCTGCTATGTTCTGCCTACACAAGTGGATGTGACATAGCTGCAGTGGGTAGAAAATTGGGAAAGGCCAGTTCACGTAAATGCTATTTTAGTAAAGTGGCTAAAGGAAGGGCTGTTAAAAAAAAATAACTTTGTTGAATTAATAGGTTAAGCACTGTAAAGCCTTCAATTTAGTTGTATTTAAAACATAGTTTGAAAAGCATTGTAATGCAAAAATATGGAGTGATAAAATGGTGACCCTGCAGTAGTTATTATGAATGTGTACTGAGCTGATTCACTTACCTACCATGGTGGTGCGCATGACCTGTCATTTTGAAAGGATAGAAGAGTAGCACCAATAACATCTACACTGGTGATGATTATGCTGCTCATCTGTTCTCTGGGAAAAGTCAGACTCTGTTGAATAAGAAAAGATGGAAGTACAACAGGGAAAGAGCAGGATGATGGTGTTGTGTGAGAGCCTTGTAAAAAGTGAGTAAACAGAAGTTTGAAAATTCCATGCTGAACAACTAGGGTGGATTCATCTATAGTCCAACATGACCTTGTATAAGTAGCAGCCCAACTCTTTTGTTATGTCATGCTGTTGATTACAGTGGCAGGAGTTGCTTGCTCAGTTCTCTCTAGTAGTCCGGGATACAAATGTCCACACCTCTCATTTAGGAACAGTCACTTCCTGCTCTGCAACTTCAGAGAGTTTCTGTCCAAATCCCCTCTTAATTTCATTGCATGGCCTAGCTTTTGGTGCTGGCCTTGTACTGTAACAGTCATATCTGAATAGACACCCAAACTGCAAAGATCTAGGTTGCTAGCAAGCCAGAACAGTAGTTACTTGGTCCAAACTTTAGCCGTTGGGTAAGTTGCCAAAATGGAAAAGACAAAATCAGAAGAGTTCATGGCGAGCTGTCTGATGCTTACGTAGAAGTGTGTGTTGGTATAGAACTTACCCATGCACTATGAAATTGTGTGTGTGTGTGTGTGTGTGCGCGTGCGTGTGTGCGTGCGTGCGTGCACACACACACACATGCATACAGGTAAGTCATCTGTCGAGTTCATTTGTGAGCATTAAATCAATTTTGAGTTTTTTGGTTGTAGACCCTGTAAAGCTCATTGTGTTTTATATATGCTAATCACTTAAGTCGATTGTGGCTGTGCTCCACACAGATTTGTAACATTTAGATTATAGCAGATATTCAGAGGTGTGGGAAAGCTGTGCGGCCATGGTTTTTAACCAATGTGCTGTGGCACCCTGGGGTGCTTTGAATGGTCGTCAGGGGTGTTGTGGGAAACACTAGCCTCTTTCCCTCTTTCCCCCTTTCCTTGCCCCTCTCCTCTGATGCCCTCTCACATCTCTGCCTCTGGAGCTGGCCTCAGAGTAAGCAAGTGGGCGAGGGAGCCCAGCCAGCCAGTCCACCAACCCTTGCTGCTGGGAACGAATGGATGAGTCCTAGACCCCTATGGGGCACAGTGAGGAGGCACTTTTCTTTGAGGCAGAGGGTGGGGCAGCTCAGAGACCAGGGGCAGCGGCTGTGGCTGCCTGGAAGGGTCCCAAGGAGAGAGGAGAGGAGGCTGAGGGAACACTCCACAAGGGAGGGTGTTCGAAAAAGGGTGAGAGGCTGCCAGCTCTGCAGGCAAGGTGAGATATAACTGGGCTCCTGAGCTACACAGAGGTGCTGCAGAAAGAATGTAGTTGGTCAAGGGGGCCGTGGACTCAGAAAGGTTGGAAACCTCTACTGTAAGGCATCACTGAGATCTGCGGCGATGTGTGGCTTATCTTTGATGATCAACTGTTTAACACTGCACTAGACAACTAAAAGGAGACAGGGGAAACATAGGATCTACAACTGATACCCAACATTAATGTAACTGTTATATCTAAGACTGCTTCTCTAAATGGTATGGTATTTATGTAAATCATACAGTGTACAAATAAAGGGTCCTAATATAGTAGCAGAATATTTGTGTCCTTGTTGTCCGAGTTACAGAGCTGTAACAAAAATTGAATGCTCAAAACTGTTTTATTTCTTTGCAACAGCACATCGTTGTCTGTATGCCTTGAGGTCAGCAGGAAAAGATTGTCACCTGCCTTTGTGCGCAGCACGATGGGCTTCTTCCACTGTGCCACGTATCACCACCCACTATACTATCCACCCCCGGGACAAAGACAACCGGTGGGAAGGTAAGTGACAAACTTTTAAGTACAATTCATTTTTGTAGCATAACCAGGCTTGTAAATAGCTATTTGCCTAGTCCCCTGTGGTGACGAAGAGTCAATTACTGATCAACAAATAGCAAAGGTAGTCCCCCCCCTTTAAAGGACACTTAGATAGATAGAAGATAGTACGTGGGCAGCTATATATTTTTGTGGGAAACCCTGTAAATCTGTATCTGTATTTGTAATTATATTTAACAATTAACTTTGCAATTGTTTATTACTTTAGTGTAGTGTATTACTTTAGGGTGTATGGGGTGTTAGGGAAGGGGTAGTACCTTTGGTGGGGGACACATGGTGCTCCTTTTGGGGTAGTTTGTCCTACTCTGGTCCCCACCATGCACTCAGCTCTCAGCTGCGGCTCCCAGAAGCTGTCAACATGCGACTGCAGCAGCCACATCCCTGGAAGAGCTTCAAGTGGCCGTCCAGCTGTGATGTGGGACAGTGCCAGTAAAAGGTCATTGAACTGCATCCTAGCAAACCCACAGTTGAAAGATACCTATAAGTTCTCTTCCATTTTTTATTTTATTTTTTAGTCTTGACCCCACACTTTTTTTCACTTGAGGCTGCAAGATCAGACTTCAAGAAGGGGAGGGACAGCTGATTTTGACAGCAAGGGCCTAGCCTCCATTTGACTTTCTGGTATATGGCTCTTTGTTAAAGGGATAAGCATGGAAAGATTTGCAGAAGAAGCGGATGTTGTTGTAGTTGGAGCAGGCCCTGCAGGACTTGCGGCAGCTATCCGACTCAAGCAGTTAGCTAGCGAACACGGCAAAGAGGTCCGCGTGTGCCTTGTGGAGAAAGCTTCTCAGATTGGTGCCCATACACTTTCTGGAGCTTGCCTTGAGCCACGTGCCTTAAACGAACTTTTCCCAGATTGGAAAGAACGAGGGGTAAGAGCTTAACTTCTGTACTACAACTTTTTTCAGTTGTAGCTTGATTCTGTTTAGAATGCATGCTAGTGATTTTAAAATAAATTACTAAAATAGTTATATATAATATGTTTCCTCTGAATGCTATGAAATAGAAAGTATCTGGGGAAATAATGAGCATTATAAAGATATTTGGTAAAGTATCTTTTGCCAAAGAATAAATAAAATTCTGCCAAATACCTTTACAGTGGTACCTCGGGTTAAGTACTTAATTCATTCCGGAGGTCCATACTTAACCTGAAACTGTTCTTAACCTGAAGCACTACTTTAGCTAATGGGGCCTCCTGCTGCTGCTGCGCCGCCGGAGCACGATTTATGTTCTCATCCTGAAACAAAGTTCTTAACCTGAAGTACTATTTCTGGGTTAGTGGAGTCTGTAACCTGAAGCGTATGTAACCCGAGGTACTACTGTATCTGTTAAATCCTTTAGCTTGCTGCCTTTAATGATCAGAACCTGCAGTAGAATACAAGTGCCTTTCTTTCACTTCATTCTTTTCTTATTTGTGCTTAATCTGACGTCTATTACCATCCTTGAAACTCATAAGCATGTCTGCTCCAATTTTATGTGAATCTATAATGCTAATGGTATTCAAATGCCTTATTAAGGGAGTTGGAAGTTTTGTAAAATATTTCTACTTATTTTTATTTCATTTTTCTTAGGCTCCACTGCATACCTCTGTAACAGAAGACAAATTTGGAATATTAACAAAGAACTCTAGAATCCCAGTTCCTATTCTTCCAGGTACAGTTATTGATGAAGACGAAAAACCTCTATGTGTAAATCTTTTGTTTTGAGCTGAGGTATAAAGTGCTTGAATGAGCTATTCTTTTGCTTAAAAGTATTACATTTATTACCTGCCCTTCACCCTGTGGTCTCAGGGTGGGTTACAACAGTTTAAAAAGCAAAATTGAAAACAACTTGAACCAATTTACATAGTGCCTCTCCAGTTGGAGTGGTTAACCTGTGGCCCGCCAAATGTTGCTGGAATGGGGCTCCCATTCATCCCTAACAACTGGCTATGCTGGTTGGACCTGATGGGAGTTCAGTAACTTCTGGAGGGCCGCAGGTTAGCTTTATAGTGAAGAAATGTCACATCACTTTGTTCCAGTATAAGTTGTGTTGAGAACAAGCTTGTAAGTCAGTTGATTTGGTGTCTGAGGCAATTAAGAATCTCCTGCACTGAACCTGAGAAAAATGTTTTGTAAACTATGAGAGACTTTATGTTTACTAAAACATAGACTGAAACATAGGTACAGCAAGCAGGCTAGGAACACGTTTTGTGCAGTGGTAAGATTTGTGAGCACAGGGCTGAGTTAATTAAGTCATAGACTGTTACTTCACCATGCTGGTAAGCTGATGCGTATGGTAGAATTGTAACTTTGAATTAGTCTTAGTGTTTTACTGTTTCATGAAATGAATTGTGATGTGTTTCATCCTTTTAACTAGGCCTTCCGATGACTAATCATGGGAATTACATAGTTCGTCTCGGGCATTTTGTGAGCTGGCTGGGTGAACAAGCAGAAGCGCTTGGTGTTGAGGTCTACCCAGGCTATGCTGCAGCTGAGGTAATGGCAGAGCTGTTGCCATTCATGTTTGTGTGCATGTATGAGATTTGTCAAACTTTCATATGACACCTAAGATAGGTTTTCACCTATTAGAATGAATGCATTCAGTTTACACAAATAATCACTACACTATATTGTTTGCAGAATTATGTAAGACCATAAGAGCCCTCCTGAGCAGAACAAAGGTCTGTCTAGTCCAGCATTCTGTCTCCTACAGAGACCATCTTGATGCCTTTTGACATGCATCTTGCTGCATCTAATTTGCATCCTTAGGTTTTTGAAAACTTCCAGGATATTCCATGCAGATACTGTACCAGAATGGGCCTTTCCTGCAGTGGCTCCCCATTTGTGGAATGCTCTCCCCAGGGAGGCTTGCCTGGTGCTTTCATTATATATCTTTAGATGCTAGGCAAAAAGGTTTCTCTATAACCAGGGCTGATTAACATTCTATGGCCTTTTAACTGTGTTTGTGGGAGGAGGGCTATTCAATTTTTCCGTTATGTATTTTGTGTTCTTTTGTGCTTTTAATGTTGTGAACAGCCCTATGATCTTTGGATGAAGGCTGGTATACAAATTCAATTAATAATAATAAAAATATTTGCCAGGTGACTACAACTAGGTGCTGTACAAACAATAAAATTGCACAACTCTGCTTGCAGCTTCATGTTAAGAATGTTGAAATCATAGATCTTTATTTGATTTCCTCCTCATAGGTTCTTTTCCATGAAGATGGCAGTGTGAAAGGGATTGCCACAAATGATGTTGGCATCCAAAAGGACGGGGCACCCAAGGTAAATGCTCCTTTACTTTTTTATTAACATCATGCTTTTCACTTGGATGGCTCCTCATAAAAATGGATATTGTAAAACTGCTGTTATATGCTTGGTGGTATGAAGATGGCGTTGGACTTGCAGCTTAATTTAGGCATTTAAGTAAACACAAAGGCAGTATACTCGAAAAATATGGCTCAAAGTTCCAGGGTTGAGACAAGCACAGGCATTATTGTATTATTGCCACAGAGATTGTATAATGGAAGACACTTTTTAAACAGCATTTTGAAGGACATGTAGCTATGGGACAAGGCATTCTGCATCAAGACTTGCACCCAGAGAGCCAGTAGATTTAAAACCATGCGGAGAAAGAAGCAGAGATGTTATAAATACTTATAAGGGACTGAAAACAATGCTTTTCAACTCTACATACAATGAAGAAAAATTTAAAAACTTCAGTATAATCCTTAAAGTTCTGAGTAGATCAACATAAAACAGAGATGACTAATAGAACATGCAAGGAAATAGTAGGGGAAAAACTCATTATCAGCCTGGCATCAAGGGTCAGTTTATACTGTTTGCTCCAAGTGTGCTTCCTATAATTATAGTGGTGTTTGTAATTGTACGTCTCAGACAGAATGAAATAAATATGCTGCAGGACACTTGAACTGTGTCCCCTACATTTTACTAAGTGCTGGGAATGAGCATCACACTTTAACATTTTAGTATATGCAGCATTCACACACACCAGTGTGCACAAGGCAAGCATAAGCTGGCTGCACAAAGTTTAAATTGGCTTTAACATAAGTAGGAAAACAACTGCTGATTTACAATCTTCCCTACCAGTTTTCCTTTCTAATGTTTAAAGCAGAACCAGAGTCTGTATTCCCTCATCAGGAACTTCCTAGGGTCCAGGTGCCAGTGATGGGTAGAGCTTAGAGGCAAGAGAGCTAACACACACCCTTCCCTATCCAGGCAAGCAGTAGACATTGTCACAGTTCAAGGACATATTTCTGCCAGGCAAAAGGATTTAAGCAGGGCATGGAGTGAGGGGCATCGCCTGAGGAGAACCCTAACGGCTAGATAGAGAGGCTTGGAGGGGCAGTATTTCGGACAGAGCACTATCCCAGCCCTCCCTCAAGATGCTGGGGGTTAAAGCTGGGATCTCTGCATTCAAAGCAGGTGCTCGGAAGATTCTCTGCAACATGGTATAATGAAAACATGTTACACAACTGCTTGCAGAGTATCTCACCAAACAGACTTCACTTTCAAATACATATTATGTGTGTAATGATGGTATTTATTATCTTCTGTGGCAGGCTACGTTTGAAAGAGGCTTGGAGCTGCATGCCAAAATCACGGTGTTTGCAGAAGGTTGTCACGGACATCTTGCAAAGCAGTTGTACAACAAATACAATCTAAGACAGAACTGCCAACCCCAGACTTACGGCATTGGGCTTAAGGAGGTATCGCTGTATTATTGATCAGTTACAATCCAAGGTTTGCTCTCTGAATCCCACAACACAAGTGTATTTGACATTGTCTCAGGGTACATTTTAAAGCCTTTTCAGAATAGAAATGGTATGAAAGGTTAGCTAATCTTACTGTTAGCTAATGCTTACTGTGTAGTACCTTGATCCGTTCTTTAGTTTGTTAGTTCTAGATCTAAAGGATTACTACTGCCACTTTCCCCACCTTGCAATAACTACTTGTGGCTTTATTTGGTAGAAGTCACTATATTCCAGTTTTATTCACAGCATTCTTATTCATGCAAGCTTTTAATTTTAGGACAAACATATTTCATATGTTAAATAGTTCTGGCTTGTAAACAATGCACAAGTGAAGTGTCTCAATGTTTCTTTTTAAGGTCAACATTTAGCCTTTATGGCTAATTGTCTTTGTCCCTGAATTAAAGGGAGACCCAAGGCACAGCCAAGTTGGAAAGATTTCCCAGGTATTACAGGGCTGCATGCCCCATCTCTGTATTGTGGCTGTTTTATTTCACTGTTGCAGGCTATCTTATGTTCGGAACAATGGCTAAAAACTCTAGTTTCCAAAATAGTGTTGGCTACATAAACTGGTCCTGTCGTTCATGGCAGTAGTTCTATCCATCCCGAGCCATTCTAGAAAAGGCATATTATTAGCAGTGCTTTAAATGGTTCTAATACAAGTGTGCACATGGGTCAGGTTATGCTATGTTCACTTTTAAATATAGAAGCTTAAAAAGAAAGCATACCAAAGATAGAACATGGATTTTAATCCAGGTAATTGCTCCTGAGTTACCTGTTCTACACTGCTGATCACTGTCTTAAACCTCTTCACTGAAAACTGTTTTTAGTAGGTGTGGGCATGATTTGGGACTTAAGTGAAGAAAAACTTTTCTGCTTCACATTTAGAAAATTCATTGTAAGCAATCGGTATGTTTTAAAAGAAGTAAGACTACCAATGGGAGTGAATTTCCCACACTTCCAAGGTTGGGTTGAGCCTTTTCGTGAGGCAGGACCTGTCCTGTGAAACTCAGTAGAGGTTTATTTCAAATGACTTTTGAAAACTATACAGGGCTTTATAATATGAATTTTACTTTTTAACCAATGCGTATTTATTGATGTCCTTATGGATACTTTTGTTGTTTTTATTCTCTTATGTTGTAAAACTGCCATGTGTGTGTGTATATATGTGTGTGTGTGTGTGTGTGTGTGTGTGTGTATGGATATGGATTATAAATAAATAAACAAACAGTTGTGTCAGGCAGAGGGGTCATAAATGAAAATAAATTATATTTTTCCCCCATTTCCCCCCCACTTACAAAGCATTATTTGACAGCTTATTCACTCAAGCCAATAGGTTAAAGATTGAATGTGAAGGTTTCAAAGATGAAGACTTCTATTATTATATTTGCTTTCAGCACTGAGTCTAATTGTGTAGTATGGAAAGTTACACATAGCAGTTTCACTTTGGTTTAAAGTCTAGTAACGTCTCTGCTGAACTGCATTGCCCGGATTTTCCCCATTTCTAGCTGTGGCTTATTGATGAAAAGAAATGGAAAGCAGGAAGAGTGGAACACACTGTTGGCTGGCCTTTGGACAGACATACATACGGAGGATCATTTCTTTATCATCTAGATGAGGGTGAACCGCTAGTAGCTTTGGGGTTTGTGGTAAGTATTTTGTACCTGCAGTGAAACTTAACTTTCTGAACATTTTTTGCTTCTAAGTCTGTTCATGGATGGCACTGAGAGATAGAATTCTAATATTAGTCTTGCTTGCATACATCATATCTTTTTAACTTTTACTTATGATGTTCAGTACGGAAGATTGTCAGTGCTTAACTTCTACAAGGTTAGCAGGGTTCAAGAACTACTACTTTGAAAACATTTCTCCCTGATGTGTGAGGTTTGGTTAGTCCCCAAGTATTGGCCACATGCTTTTCAAATTGGAGCTTTTCTCAGGGGAAGAATATGTATATGAGCTTTTATGCCTGTATACAGAATTCTTGAATCACTTATTCACACAAAATAGCTGCATGGCCGTACATTTCATAGGGACAGAATTACTTCTTGTAACACTGAAATTCAAAGTAAGCTAAATATATCCAGCAAGTAGCATAATAGGGAAATGAGGTGTGTGTTTGAAGCTTTGTATGCCCTATTAGTAATAGCCTACAGTAGTTGCTTTTTTAAAAAAGTAAGTATTTTCGCATTATGTCTTATAGGTCGGTTTGGATTATCAAAATCCTTACTTGAACCCATTTAAGGAATTTCAGAGGTGGAAGCACCATCCAACTGTACAGCCTACTTTAGAAGGTGGAAAGAGAATCGCCTATGGTGCCCGAGCACTTAATGAAGGTGGCTTCCAGGTGATGTTTTAGTAATACAAGGTTATTTCCTCAAATGTCTCAGTTGTAGTGTTTTGTGTTGGTTTTTTTTAAAGCTGCCATCTGATAGAAGCAGTCTTAATCATGAATTTAGTTGCTTGACTAAATTTGTATTTGAGAAAAACACTAGTTCTGTGGGGGCAAATACTTTGTTTCTAGGTGATTGACGGACTTGTCACAGCAGGCATCCTCCTGCAAGAGGCAGGAAGGAGTGAGCCTCCTTGCATCTGATATTTTTAAAAGCACTTGTATTAAACTTTGCTAGCTACCCTATTGACTTGTAATATATTTTTGTTGGTTTGATCTAACCTATCAATTAAATACAGCAGCATTAGTAAAGACAAAACGCTGTAGTTGGACTGTTGTTGAACAGTTAATAAATGTCTCTGGTTGTCCTTTTTAAATGTCAAAATAAGAGATATTACAAACTGTCCCGGGAAATGTTGCACCACGGTCTCATCCATGGGTAAGATTAGCCAGCCTCATCCTGGAGCGATAACCCGCAGCATAACTGTACAGATTTTCACAAATAATTTATATCTTGGTTGTGAATTCTATATTCCTGTAATTAAGCATACATCTGGTGTGGATTGGTAAGGCGTTGAATTGGCAAGGTTTCTGCATTTAAGCCCAATTGAAACATGTTCACCAGAAAACGGCAGTAGAACCCTACTTCTGATCCAAAGAGCTCCATAGATTTTATGAAGGGCTAAGCTGGAGTCCCTGTGCATTTGTAACACTAGTTGTGTGGCTGTTCCGATTCAAGGTTTACCTGCATTGTAGGTGATGCTTAAGTTTACTTTTCTCTATACTAAAACCTGCTAGTTTTACAACTGCTGCAGTATTCCAGAGACAAATCTTTTTAATCTGTATTCCATAGCTCCAAAGCATGCTCTACTAAATCTGTCGAATACACCCAGAGAGGACAGATGTTCTGAATTATTTGATGCAGCCGTATCTAGAAAAATACTAGTGGTTACAATAACCAAACCCTTTTCACCTTTCGGGTATACTAGTTGGCTGTAGAAATCTAGCAGGGGTGTAAAAATGGATTAGAAGTACTCCAGGAATGATACTGGCTCTTATTTATAATGCCTCTCAGATGCTTGGATGTCAGGAGTTCCTGTCTCTTGATGTAGCAGTTGAAAAGTTCAGTAGCTTCTTTCAAAGGTTGAGGTTCATAGATGTCATTCTTAGTGCTATGGAGTTAAAATATAACACTTAGAATCCTTCTTCTTTATTGATATCATATTCAGGAACTATATAGATAACAGAAAGAGACAACATTTGCCTCTGTGGGTAGCATTATTTGTTCTCTTTTTATAGGTATTCCCATTTTATGACTATTTTTCTGGAACACTGCATTTGCACTTTAATGCCTTGTTTGAGCGAAAGGTTTCCCTGGTTCAAAGTTAATTTTTTTGAAGACGGTGTTCTTTAAACACTGCAAGAGGGAAGCAGAGGCAGTGTAGTTTTGAGTGTCTGGGCTGTCCTTTTAAAAACAACAACCCTGAAACAACGCTCCTGGCTTCCTTGTGGAGTGGATTATAATGCTAATGGAGTTTAGTATGGCAAATGTTTTACTGCAGTAGCTCCAGTTGCATTAGACTGAAAAGGAAGAGAGAAAAAGTTGGTATTGCTTAACCTTTTTGGGGAGATAATACTGATCTGCTTTATAACAATGATTGTTACCAGCAAGACTAGTGATAGCTACATATGGGAAACTTCTGGAGGGTGCAACACTGACTTCATGGTACAAGAAAAATCTGACAACTAGTTTCGACGGACAAGCTAACAAATAAAACAAAATCAGCAAAGGGGATGAAAACAAAAGACACATTTTCAGGAGGCTGGTACCCTTTTATTATGCACATAGGAGAAGGCAAAAGATTGGGACAGCCTCAAATTATGAATTTTTGGGCCGGTATGAATATATACTGTAATTGATGTTACCACATAACTGGAAATATAATGTTATGAGATACACCTAGGAATAATCCAGATTTGTATCTCTGAGGGTGGGATTAAATTTTTAAAAAGAAATGGAGAGATGAGTAGATACTGATGTAAAGGTTGAAGTAGTGCTGGGAAATTGGAGACAAGCAGCTGAACGTTCTAGTTTAAGGTAGAAGGATATAGGTCTAGTCAGGTTTGAAGAATTTCAGGAAGAATGAGGAATGGTAAGTCTGAAAAACAGTGCATGATGAATCTACAGGCCGAATAGATTATGCCACCCTATATAGCTGGTTCTAGCCTCGAATGTAGACATAATGTGTGTATCTGAAGAAGTGTGCATGCACATGAAAGCTCATGCCAAGAACAAACTTAGTTGGTTTCTAAGGTGCTGCTGGACAATTTTTAAAATTTTTATATCTATTTCTACTGCATCAGACCAACATGGCTACCTACCTGAATCTAGTAGGCATTAAGGCTTGGGATCTACAAAAGAGAATGCAAGCATGCTGTAAAAGAGTATGCTTTCTTACTTTGCATGAATAGTTAATAAATTAATTATTATCTCCGCAGTCCATACCTAAACTCACTTTTCCTGGTGGACTCCTTATTGGCTGTAGTCCAGGTTTCATGAATGTTCCTAAGATTAAAGGCACACACACTGCAATGAAAAGTGGTATGCTGGCTTCGGAAGCCATTTTCAACCAACTAACGAATGAGAATCTCCAGTCAAAAACACTGGGTAAGATGGCATGATATGAACATTTATCACTGATGCTTTCTGATCAATTACAGTTCTAAATATCAAGGAGCTCTTTAAGCCAAGTTAATTGTCACTGGTGTATTGACCTAAAACAGCTTTGTAGAAAGCCCACAATTCACTAGCATACACTCAGGGTTCATCAGACTTCCTTTTGCACAACACTTTTCAGACACAGGTCTGCGTTTTCCAGGTCTTTTTATTATTATTTTTTTGTCCCAACACTTCCCCTGGGGAAACCTGTTTACCACTAAATTGGAAGAAACAGCAATAGGCTTTTCTGCAGATTGCCATTTGTTCTGATTCAGTGGTAAACAGAGGGCTTCCCCAGGCAAAACAGTGGGATAAAAAAAAAGGCGCTGGCACAGACCTTGAAAGCATGGAAAACACCAAAAGAAAAGTCTCCACCCTACTGACTCACCTGTGTCCATTTCTTTATCACCTGTGGATAATGGACTAGTACAATACAAGCCTGCCCTAAAGTCTCATCACCATATTGCAGATATAATGGAAGGAATTTACGAGTGGGGCCTAATTATAATACCTTGCCTAGTCCTAACAATTGAGTCTCTGCTATGGCATGTCATACCCTTCAAGAATGAAATGATACTCTGGGTGAGATTAATCGGAAGTTTACACTGGAAATTACAGGTTGAAAATTTATATGTGTATTTCCACTAAAGTCGCTGTCCAAAATGACTTTCATTTTCATCTTAAATGCAAGGCGTTGTTTTCTTCATTTTAAATGCAGATTCACTTTTTTTAAAAGTTAGCACCTTGTACATGGGAAAATGCCTACGTTTAGCTGTTAAACAGTTAATCATGTTTCATGCAATCCTGTGCATTTAGTCAAAGGTGGATCCCACTGAATTCAATTAGGCTTACCCTCAAGTGTGCACAGAATTGCAACCTCTGTGTTTTAATTCTGTAGTGTATAATTTTACTACTTTTAAATAGAAACAAATGTTACTGTCCTTCAAACATGTTAATTTTTGGTCTTATTAGTGTAAAACTCAAAGAGTAAACAATGATATATACATACTGTATTCTAAGTTTGTCTTCCACTCTGCTTTTTCAGTATCCATTCAGATATAAAATTATTGAAGTATAGCTCTCCCGAGCAATTTATATTTTCTCAAATGTAAACTACTGCTTTGTTGCAAATTATAGAAAGCCTGGCTCTTATCAGTAGCACTAGTTATCTCCTTGGAAGTGGAACTGTAAGATGCTACTGACGTTCTAAACATTTAATAAACAGTCCCTTGTTTCTAGGACTTGATGTGCCTGAATATGAAGACAATCTGAAAAAATCCTGGGTATGGAAAGAACTCTATGCAGTCAGAAATATCCGTCCTTCATGCCATGGACCCTTGGGTGTGTATGGTGGAATGATTTACACAGGCATATTTTACTGGATACTAAGAGGAATGGAACCTTGGACCCTAAAGCATCCAGGTAGGTTTCTAAATTAACAGCATCTGGGCAACAGCCATGAGACTTTCCCTTCTTCTCTCCTTTCCTTCTCAGACCATCATGCCTCTAAATCTGTTGGACAGTCCAGTGCTCTGTTGTTTTGGGGGACCCGCTAGGAACAGACTGCAGAGGGAAGGAGAGGAAGTCTAACTATTGTGCAAGGAGGCTCACTCTTTCCTGTCGAGATCTTTTCCACAAACAGGCCAACACCATAGAAAAGGGGTGGATACACTGCATCATTTATATGACTCTCCCAAGTTCTTTATGGCTCTCAGGATCCCCCAAAATTTTTCATTATTTTTTTTAAGTTATTGACCACTCCTGATTGCCCTTCTGTGATACCATGCCTACAGGAATTTTTTTACCCCTCAAGATATGTCCTTAAAAAAAAAAAGGGGGGGGGGAGACCATGCCTATTCTACCTTCGCCACCATCCCCTTTCCAGTTGTGGAACGCATCACAGCAGTAGAGGCATTTCCTTCAGAGAAGCAAAGTTAGAAGATAGTACTGATATACTCCTTTACTAGAGTATGGTGAAACCAATATAATTTAAGTTTTGCTTATATTTAAGTTTTTCCCCTCTGCTGATATTTTAGGGACAGATGCAAAGCGGCTAAAGCCAGCCAAAGACTGCACACCTATTGAATACCCCAAACCTGATGGAAAAATCAGTTTTGACTTGCTTTCATCAGTGGCTCTGAGTGGCACAAATCACGAACATGACCAGCCAGCTCATTTGACTTTGAAAGATGATAGTGTTCCTGTCAATCATAACTTAGCTCTATACGATGGACCTGAGCAACGATTCTGCCCTGCAGGTACCTAGCACAATTTGTAGTGTGTGGAATTGCAGGTTTGTGGTTTTCTCCCCTTCCTCCACTTTTTGTTTTCCTACATACCATAACTTCACTTATCAGCTTGACCCCTTGGTTTTTGATGGGGGCGTTTTCTGGCTGAATTCTACTGTACTTTTAGAATTAGGTTACTTCTTCCACTAAATTCAATTTTCCTTTTTACAGGAGTTTATGAATATGTTCCTGTGGAAACTGGAGATGGATTGCGGTTACAGATAAATGCTCAGAACTGTGTCCATTGCAAGACATGTGATATTAAAGATCCCAGCCAAAATATTAACTGGGTTGTACCTGAAGGTGGAGGTGGACCAGCTTATAATGGAATGTAGTCTTGATCAAAACTAAAAGAACACCCTAGCTGCAGAACCATACCACTTTGGGTTTGCCACATTTTTCTCAAGAGCTGCTATCAATGGTCCTCTGTGAGGTTAGCATTCTATTGAAGGCTAATCTGAAGCAGTAAATGCAACTGTCAGCATGTTCAGATGTTCAGATGCAATAGAAAAGTACACTCAAATAAGCCTAGGTCTATCAAAGTGGAACAAGAACAGTTTGAGTACAATCTGGTCTGATTTGCCCAACCTCTCTAGTCCTGAACACTAATAATGGATGTGACCCAGAGTAAAATATATGAAAGCTGAAGGTTAAATTTCAGTGGATTTTGATTGTAAAGATTAGTCAGACATCAATCATATGTAACATGAGGTACAGAGCACTGCTGGCTAGGGGTAGTTTGATATAACTTGATTTTGTTCAAGTAATAAAGAATACTTTCCCTATATGATTACAAATTCAGTTTATTTCTTCAACACCATTCTAACAGCGTTTGAATCTTCAGTAATGAGTGTTACAGGTGAGAGATAAAAGGGATGGAAATAGCTTGTTTAATTTAAGCCTCTGGTATGTAACCAAACTTTGTTCAAATTCTTTGCACTCGGTCGTTCTGAAGTTTTACGAAGTAGCTTTTCATACACTTTTTAGGTTAAAATACTACTACTGTTAAGTGCCTTACCATTTAACTTAATAATGAAAGATGTTTGAAATTATATGCAACCTTAAGAAAAGCCAAGATGTAAACATGTGAAACAGCATCAGTATTAGTGACAGTCAATAACACACTGTCACTGCTACTCATACTAATCCTGCCTTTATCAGTGCACAAGTTAAGGAGGAGAAACTATCTTGACTTAAGCAAACATCTTTGCATAAGCTGCCTTCTCTTTTTCTTTCTCATTCTTTATCTTCTGCTTAACTTTTTGTACTTCCATTTGGATAGCTGTGGAAGTAAACAAACAAAAAGTGGTTAAAATTGCTGTTTTATGCTTTTGCAGAAAACTTTCACACCTTTTTCCAAAAGTAACCTATTTAGAATACAAATTCCCATTCCAAAAATTCATTTTCCCCAAGAGAGGGTTGATTTAAGAATAAGCTAGTCAAAACGCAGGAAAGAAAATAGTGTGAATATAGCTTGTGTAACTTAAAAGCCTGTGTAACTTAAAAGTCATGCATGTTCATTTCAGAGTACATAGCGCCCTCTTCCCTTACTTTTCTCCCCACCCTCACTGGGATACATATTCTGGCTCAAGTAGCAGAAAAATGTTTTCAGTCTGCGGTGAAACTAGTGCAGCTTATTCAAAAGGCTACCTAGTCAATGGTACTAAGCAGAATGGCACTTTACCTTTGTCTTGAGGTGCTATGCCTTGAGCCTTTTGAAGCTCAGCCTTTAAAGAAAAAGAAAAGAAGTAAGCAGTATGTTTATGTATATCTTACTTTAACGTTGTATGTCAAACCAAGTACTTGTAATTACCAATGCCTGATCATAATCTTTTGTTCCTTCCCAAGCTTGAGCCCTTCTGTAAAGTGCTTTGGTGTTTGTAGGATCTATGGCCAGAGCCTGCAAAATAATAAGAACAGTATTTCTGATATTTCTTAAGATTCAGTAAGCAAAACCAGCTACTGAAATAATTTGAGCAGCAGCACCTCGCGAGAAATTTTTAGCAAGGAAACAAATGATGCAACTCCTTCCTAGGTTTCTTTCAAGCAAAAGCTAGTTCTCCTTATCAGCCTAATTCAAGTCGCTAATCTGATAAGCAACAAAACCTTCCTGTGTGCCCAAGTAATAGAAAACATAAATGGCTGTTTGTTTTCCCCTACACAGTCTTTTGTGGACATTCTGGTATCTATCCATTTAAGTAGCCGCTGAACCATGCTGAACAATCAGTATGAAATAAGACTGAAAAATATCTGGACAGTATACCGACACCTTGTGGCTACTCGGATAAGCAATTTACATCACCTAGAGATCAATGGCTACTAAGTACCAAAATATTTTAATTACAAAATTACCAATAATTCAATCAAGCTGCACTAAAGCAATTTCTTCTTCTAGCCACATACTGAATCTCAGCTTGTGAGGACACACAGAAGAGGGCTCCTATTGATTTTCTTGGGGCATATGTAGGTACATATAACACAATGTAGGTCTGCATAAATTTTGCAGGCTTCCCCTATTCATTATGTTTATATTTCTTAAGACATGTGTTGGCCTATCTGTGTGATCAGTGGCCCAAGCAATACATCCCAACATGCAGATGCTAAACATGAATGGATCAAGGCACATGGCAAGAGCATTTAAATATGACAGAGTTGTGGAACACAAAATTGGGCTTGAAAAATGCCTCAACAGAATTTTATTGTGTAGGACAAAAAGCGAGATAAGGGGGAAATGCTATTTGAGGGCCAAACAAGAAATGGCAGGTTATTAGTTTTAAAATTTTCATCAATGCTGACCTAATGCAATGAATCCAGAAACTGGACAGATAAGAATTAAGAATGCTTTGCTATGCATATTGTTTTAAATAAAATTGTGTCATAAATTGTTTGTTGGATTCTACTTTATCAATTTTTCTGAGCCAAAATATAAGCAATATACCTTAGTACAGTTTTCAATTGCATCTTGCCACTCCAACAGTTTCAGTCTGCAAGCAGCAATGTTTAGGTAGCAGCTCAACGCTACAGCATTCAACTTTGCTAAATCTTCCTTGTCTACTATAGCTTTAGAAGCTTCAATATACCTGTACAAAATAAAATGACAGAATTTGCATTATTGTATTACCACATGTCTAACTTGCAACACTAGCTAAAGCAGATAAAGGGGGGGATGGCCTATTTATGCTTCTGATCAGTCCCAAAATATCTGAACCATGTTAGTTTCGAACCCCCAATTTCATTACCTTAAAGACTTGCTGTATTTCTTGACTGCCATTGCCCAGTTTTGGGATTTGAAGAAAGTGTTACCTATATTTTTTACATCTTCAGCTATAGACACAACCTGGTGAATCTACCAAAAACACAGAGGCAGAGAGAGAGAGAGAGAGAGAGAGAGAGAGAGAGAGATGGTATCATTCTGTAATTTGCAAAACATTTTCCTGTTTTCTTAGGAGAAGGCCTGCAAGTTTAGAATCTGGGTAAAACCTCAGTGCGGCAACTGACTATGTAATGACACATTGCTTTGTCATAAGTCGGAAGAACACTTTACTATATTGTATCTTTATTTAGTTGGCGTATTTATATAGACTCTGCCTAGTGAAGAGCTTGGATTAAACCCATTTGGCACTTAAATTCTGAATGAGTTGAGATGAAGTGTGGCTTTTGTTCTGTAGTATTCTTTCCTGATACAGGAGCCCATTAGTATTTTGTTGTATGACCAATGCACCCTTTGCTATGCGTGTTGTCTGCAGGCAGTACACTGATATTTTTTACTCTCTTGCCTATGAGTCAGCTGAACATCAGGCCTTCTGAAACCCTGCCCACAGTGCTGTGCAAGACCCAATGGTCAACGGTAGCTTGCAAAGCATCTTGCACATGGTTTTGCGGCCATTGCTGAACGGTGGTGCCTGAGCTAGATCTTCAGCAGCCTCGCTTCTTTTATAACATTTAAATCTCACCTTTCCTCCAAGGAGTTCAGTGTGTCATACATTGTTCTCCCTTTCCCCATCTGACCCTCACAAAAATCCTGTGCTGTCTTAATAAATGCTACTCTGTTTTTGGTAAGAGAGGTTCATTTTCTGTTTCCTTACAACTCCCACTGCATCACTAATCTTTTCTCAATGAGAAGAGATACTTACATCTTTTAAATCCACATCAGAATCTTCAGGAAAATCTGTGTGAGTATCTCCAGAACCATCCATAGGAGCAAGTCCCCAGTTATCCCCTTCTTTCAGTTCACCACACTCTGCAATGATGCATAACTGTAAAAATAATAAGAGTACATGAAAGGCAACTTTACCTGCGAAAGACAGCTTACTCTGAATTTTCAGAAAACATGCAATATGTGCTGTTGATTTCAAGCCATTCAATTGTGCAGTTTCCACTGAATATCATTCAATTTGCTAGAATGCCAGTTAAATAATGGGAATTACTAGATACGTGTAACTGTTACAAGAGAAGAGATTTTGCCTCAAGTCCCAGCCAAATTCAGCCAACAACCCACCACCCAAGTTTGTATGCACACCCTTGGCTTACCATTCAGTAGCTATCTTTTATAGTTCAGCTGTTTTTCACACTTCCAAAATAAAACTTGACTCATTTATAATACTGGAAAAGGATTTCTTCTAAAGCTGTCAAAGCTTACCTTAGCAGGTTCTTCCTCCTTTACTTCAACATTTTCTAGTAGCTTTACAACACCCATGCCTTTGATCACTTGGCCAAAGACGACATGCTTCCCATCAAGATGAGGAGTTGGCACAGTTGTGATAAAGAACTGGGAGCCATTAGTGTTGCATCCTGAATTTGCCATGCTGAGCAAACCTGGCTGATCGTGCTATATAAAAAGATACCAGTGTAATTCTGATTAGAATAATTCATGAATGAAGAATCAGAGACATCCTGCTAACAAGACAAAAGGTTACAAGGAAAATGGCTTGCGGTATCTTAATTAACGTAGTGAATGTTTTCACATGATCTTAGCCAAAAGGCAGAGAAGCTGTTCCTGAAGCAGAGACAATGCCAAGCAAGGCTTGTGCCTGTCCAAAGGAAATTATTAAGCTTGAGGGTAATAAATAACCCAGACACTCAACGAACTTAATAATAAAGTTAAATAAGATATTTAAGATAATGTGCAGAATTTAATTTGAAGTATCTTATTCACATTTAACAGCTTTTATATTAGATCTCAAGAATTCATATTAAGTAGGAGTCTGAAACATTTCCCTCAAATGAGATACTTGTTAAATGTTAGCTATATTTAAATATACTTCAGCTAGAGTTGACCTTATACAGATAATTACTTAAAATGAATTGTGAAAAAGACTCTATGAATTGAAAGTGGAGACACTATATGTAATTTTATTTGTTTATTTGCTTGTTTGTTACACAAAAAAAGCTTTGATAAAACTTTTTTTTAAGGCAAAGTCACATTTCATTATGGTAAAAATGAAAAACATTCATAATTCTATCAAGTGACAATTTTAATTATTAAGCCATTACCTTGTAATGGAAGTTTTCATCATCAAATTTTTCACCATATATGCTTTCTCCACCTGTTCCATTTTGATGTGAGAAGTCTCCACCCTGGATCATAAATTTCTTGATAACTGCAATTTGAACACAGAAAGATGAAAGCTAGCATTAGGTTGGACAACATTCCAAAGTCCTATTTCATGTAATGCATAAATTATAAATCTATAAGCTTAAGTGAACATACCATATTTACTCGAATCTAATGTTCACCAGTTTTGGCCAAATTATGTTGCGAAAATTAAGGTGCACATTAGATTCAATAGCACATTTACATTCACCAGCAAATACTTCTTTTAGTTTCAAGATTCTGAAAATTGAGGTGCACATTAGACTTGATGGTGCATTAGACTTGAGTAAATATGGTACGTTTCTTGAGTACAGGGAGTTCTGCATACTAGTATAACCACCAAGAAAACTCCATCCCACATCCCCACACAATAAGCAACACTTGTGTAAGATGTTAAACAGGATGTTATCAGAGCAAGCAAGATGATGGCAAGGCTATCTTGGTCCAGCAATGGCTGTAGTTGGATAACCAAATGTAACTGGAACAAGAACTTCTTGCCACTTAGGCACCCAATGACAGAGCGGGATCAAGGAGCACCCGCAGACAACAAACCCGTTTCTTTAGAGGGAGCGCAACTTCATCCACAACAGAGCAAAGAACTGGGCCCACCCACCAACAGTGCCTACTTATTGTCAGGATTCAGCTTCAGTTTGCTGGTTTAATGGTGATGCTCTTTTATGTTGTATTTTTTGTCTGTTTTGTGGTTATTTATTGTTTCATTTATAAATTATACTTCACCATGGAAGTTTTCGTTTAAACAGAAGAGCAGGACACCAAAATAAAGGAAAGGATTTAAAACAAGTATAATCTTCCTTTCAGCTAACCCAAGGAAACAAAAACAAAACAAACTTACTTCTATGAAAGGGGCATCCTTTGTAATGAAGAGGCTTTCCAGTGGCTGGTCCAATACCCTTTTCTCCAGTACACAATGCACGAAAGTTTTCAGCAGTTTTAGGTACAACATCTGCAAACAATTCTAATACAATTCGGCCAGCTGGAATGAAGAGAGGTCCAAAGTTTTATTTTATCATACCAGCATCCTGCATTCCTCCATGTATATTTGTATAGCGTACCATTAATTCACCAACGGTATTTTCACAATACCCAAATAACTTCACGGCTAGAAAGTGACTTGAGCATAGGCTTTCCACGAGTCAATAAAACACTCTAGTTACTATGCCAAGATTGAGCAATTCCAGTGACAACCTAGGTAAAGCTCAAATTTATCTTATCTGGCACCCATGCTTGACTCAGTGCCATTATTTATTAATAACATGGGAGAGGCCCATTGTTCACCTTGGGTGCCGCTTGTTGGTGGTGTTACTAGTCTATATGCATACGGTTAGAAAAATCCTAATCAACACAAATTTGATAGTCTGCCTTAGGCCATGTGTTTTGCCTTGACAAGTGCATTGAAGATTATACAGTGCATTTTTTAAAATACCAGCTTTTTCCATTCCAAAGTACTTCTGATCAGAATGGGAACACTGATTCTTGATTGCTGCCATTAATTTGAGGCCATGCCTTGTTTCTGAAACCAGATATAGCTGTTACATGCCATGTTATGAATTAATTCAATTCTGCATCTGCCCAAGTACTGCACTTTAGGGAGCTCCAACCTCAATGTGATGGGGAAACTCTTACTTTGCACAGCAAGAGGTAAACAAAAATCACACACCAAAAGGGAAATTTAATAGAAGGGAAGCAACGTTGGCATTCAGATCGTTCACATCTGGGACAGTTCAAGTTGATAGAGGGTGAGACTCAATCTCAAGGTTGCGGGTTTGAGCCCCACGTTGGGCAAAAGATTCCTGCAGTGCAGGGGGTTGGAGTAGATGACCCTCATGGTCCCTTCCAACTCTACAATTCTATGGTTCTCTATTGAAGTATCCTGATCTCAGGCTTTCCACTCAGAATAGCTGTTATGTGACCCTTTCCTCAAAAATCAGAATCTGTGCAGGCATGTTATTGGGCGAAATGAAGTGATATATAACACTAGAAGGCGATATATATATATTTACAATAATTCTGTAGTTCAAGCCAGGAAAAAGAAATTAGTTCTGGAATTTTCTAGCCTGCCTTAGCACTCCTTAAATCTGGAGAGTCGAGGCTTACGCAAATACACGCGTTAAAGCGGTAATAGCTTTTCCTCGAACATACCACTCCAGGTTGCTGATGAGAGAATCGCTTGTTCTGAGGGGATTTTTTTTTTTTTTACTTATTTTATAGTTAACATATAAAGCAGGATGGGGCAGTACGTTTCTTCTCTAGTCTTGTTTGTGCAGTGAGGGACTTCGCGGGATTTATTCTAATTTGGGTTTGTTTGTTTTTTAATTATGGGGAAAGCCGGGGGGGGGAGAGGGTCCTTAAGTGGTCCCGTCTCCGCCAACCCGCTTCCCCAATATTTTACTATATATACGCCGCGCGCGCTACGGGCGCGCAGCTCTCCGTGCGGCGGCGGCGGCCTGAGGGAGAATTCCCACTCGGGCGAGAGGGAAACAATACAAAAGGTCCGGGGGGCAGCGCCGCTTCCTCCCGCTGCCCGCCCTGTTGGCTAAGGCAGAGCTTGCAGAACATTGGACAGCGGCGGCGGCAGCAGCAGCACACGGTCCTCCGACCACCTGCTTGCCGGCCACTGAAGGGGCCTCGGCTAGGCCGGACACTCTCTCCCTCCCTCCTGCCCCTCGCGCCCTTCCCGCCGCCGGGGAACCTTCCGCGCGCGCTTTCCGCCGCCTCTTCTCCTCCCCGCCACCCCCACCCCCCACGACCTCTCTGCCATTTCGCCTCTCCCCGCCCGCACCTCGTTCTCCCCCAACGTCCACATCGAGAAACACCCGGGGGTTGCTCGGGCTGGAGGGCTTGCAGAGAGGAGACTCGTGAGACATGCCGGCTGCTGCTGCTGCTGTTGCGTCACGCCGCCGCCTCCTCTGCGGCTCGGCCTTCCGCTGCGGCCTGCAGTGGAGGCTCCGCCTTCCTGCTTCAAATGAGGCGGGGGAAGCGCGCCGGCCGCCCCTCCTTCCCTGTAGCTCCCAGGCGAGCTTCTAGAAGAGCGCATGGCGGCGGAGGCTGCTGCTGCTGCTGCTGCTGGGGACATCGAAGCCCGAGCGTGTTTTGAGCACGGTCGTTTTGTTTTGGTTTTCCCTTCCCGTCTTGAGTGGAATTTGCTTACTGACTCTCTCGAGTAAATTAAGGGTGGCAGGCCGCCTGGTTGCGAAAGGACAACATTGCGACGAGCTTCGTTTCCAGAGCTGCGTCCTCCTGTCCCTCGCGAACACTTTCGGTGTATATACACTCTCCAAGAGGACGATATTGCTGCGTTTGAATTTAACACCAGTGCCTACGCCGCTTGACCTCAGTTCTCCGTCATCTTTTAGTTTTTGAGGCAGGAGGGGCGGGATTTTGAAGTAACATGCGGCTTTAGTTGCACAGGACATAAATGTCATTGCCATCATCATCATCATCATCATCATCATCATTATTAAAGTGCACCTGTGAGCTTTTGCAGAGTGCCTTATAGTGACAGACCACATATTTAGGTATTCAACTGCGTGATGGCTTCGCGTAGGCAAGTTTTCAAGACTGAAAAGAAGAGGAGGGATGATACGGTTGTGTGAAAATGAGTAATAGAAAATCAAAATACCTTAAAACGAAAAGATTAAACCAACTATGCAACATGCCAGAGTTCCTGGGGAAATAGAAAAGTTTTTGGTTCAGTTTCAGATAAGCTTCCTATGAAGGGCATTCTATGTGCAGGAATCTGTGACTGAAAAAAGTCCCCTCTGGTGGTCACAACCCTCCAAACAACAGATAGGAAGACCTTAGTGTTTGTGCAGCCCCATATAGAAGAAGGCTGATTTTAAGGTCAAAAGCCATTTAGGACTTTAAAGGCAAGCACCAACACCAGAAGGCCCAGGAGAAGTATATTTTGTCTTCTTGTCATATGCCATCCAGCAGGGTGACTATATCGCTGCTGTCTGAAACCAGTCTGAAGCCACTGAAAGAGATCCAGATTATCAGTCTGATTCAATGGTCTGGTGTTGGACTGTGGACTGCAATTACCTGCTCTAGCTCCTTGCCCAAGAAGGCATCTAGAAATCTGAACTACATTTATTAGAGAGTGAAGTCTCATTGAACTAAGTGACCATCGAGCTTACTAAACATGCATAGGCTTGGGCTGCCAGCTTGAGTGCATATAGGCACAACTATATACGTTTTCCTATAAACAAACTGTACAGAAAACAGTGGCTTCTAAACAGGATAAGGCTGCATGTGAAAATGTTTAGAGCAAAGCCAAACTTCAGAAGATGCAGAAATGTATTTCAAGAAATGCATCAGCCTTTATAGTGGTGGTTGCCTAGAAAAAACCAGAGCTGGTCTCACCTGGCATATAATCTAAGGTACCCCTGCCCGTACGGGCCAGTCTTGCCAGACTCTAGGGTTGTGCGCTCATCTCACTCTATAGGCCGGGAGCCAGTGCTGTCCGCAGACACTTCCGGGTCACGTGGCCAGCGTGACAAGCTGCATCTGGCAAGCCAGCGCAGCACACGGAACGCCGTTTACCTTCCCGCTGGTAAGCGGTCCCTATTTATCTACTTGCACCCGGGGGTGCTTTCGAACTGCTAGGTTGGCAGGCGCTGGGACCAAACGACAGGAGCGCACCCCGCCGCGGGGATTCGAACCGCCGACCATGCGATCGGCAAGTCCTAGGCACTGAGGTTTTACCCACAGCGCCACCCGCGTCCCTGGCATATAATCTACTACTGTATATATTTTGGCTGATAGTTTGCTATGGTGGGGGTGGAGTTTGGACACCTCCTAAGATAGCATAATCATATTTTGCATGATGGTTCTTGAGATCAAGGAGCAGGTTTTTGTCTATATTTGGATATGATTGGACACTACTTTGAATCAAGATGGCAGACTGAACCATCCCAAACTGCACTGATTTAAACCACTGATGTTGAAATCCACTGGTTTTCTTTCGGCAGGAGGCTGCTGCTGCTTCATAACTGAAAATCCAGTTACTTTTAACATTTGCAGTGCTTTGTGCGTAGTACTTGTGAGTGTGTTGATTTCGTGAAACCGGAAATACTGCATTGTGCCATATATGAAACCACAGTGTGAAAAGGAGGCCATCCTTCCTTTCCCATCATCTTCTCGCATCCCCTTCACTTCCATCCAAAGACAGCCCTTTCAAGGCCCTCTGAGACTGATCAGAGAAAGAAGGCAAAACCCGCGTCCCTTTAAGCGTGCCTCTTGCGACGCGCCCGGGGAAGGCTCGGAATCCCCGCGTATCTAATGACAAAACACCGGGCGGGGATTGCGCGTTCGGGAAGCTCCCAGGCTTGGATTGCGGGGCTGCGGAACTCGAGCCGGCCGCAGGGGGGAGCTGTGCGTGCCGCCGGGCAAACCCGCTTGGCTCGCTCCCAGTCATATGACTGGCCGCCTCCATTAATGCCTGTCTGGGAAGAGAGGGAGGCGCCGGCTCAGGGGGCGGCGGGGCGAGGCGGAGCGCTGGAAGCGCAACTCGGGCTGGCCAGATCGTGGCTGGCATGGATGCTACTGCAGCAGCAGCAGTAGCGAGCGACTCGTGACCGCGGCCAGCGGAGCGACCTGGCGCAGGTGTCTCCTGGCTCCCCACGCATGCTTCCCTAAGCTTAGGGCGGCAGCATGGCCCCCACGCTGCTCCAGAAGCTGTTTAACAAAAGGGGCGGCGGCGGCAGTAGCAGCAGCAGCAGCAACTCGGCTTCTCCTTGTCAGGCGGCCAAGGAAGGCTCTGCGTTCAGGTGAGTGAGCAAAGTGCATGCATTGTGCCCGGATCATCGAGGTGCCTCTGTGCGAGTTATTTTTCCTCTTATGCATCCAGCTTCTCTCTCTCTCTCTCTCTCTCTCTCTCTCTCTCTCTCTCCCTCTCCCTATCCGCCCCGCTCTCTTCTTTCTTTCTTTCTCTTTTTGCTTATGCAGCAGCCACCGGGATTGCCCTGCGCTCACGGCGGGCGCATTGGTCGACTCGTTCTGCAGATCGAAAGGCGAGGGGAGAAATTGCTTCTTTTGCAGGTCCTACAGGTCGCTTTGGGACGCAGAGCGAATGCAGCGCTCCGCGAGGGATGGAGTTGATCCTAATGTTTAAATGGCTCTGAAATGGTTAAGACGTGTTGCACATGTTCAGCAGCTGTTTCGTAACAGCCTCCCCTCATGGGTAAAGTGTTCGACGCAGCTGGTGGGCCAGGCCTGTGGCTGCCTTTAGACTAGGATGTGCCCTCCCATTTGAGGTGCCTTAGGCACCTCTCTCTGCTTTGAGGTGCCTTAGGCTGCAGTCCTGAATTCACTTACCCTGCATGTAAACCTCTTTGAGCTCCGTAGGACTTGATTCTTCATAGGCATGGTTAGGAATATGCTGTTGGTTTTTTGCTGCACTGAGCTTCAGGTTGGGGAAAGACTTTATTCAACATTCAAGTTGATGTGATGTAAAGAGGGGGTGTAGGACTTGAACTCAACCAAGAGGTCAGAAAAAGACACATGCAGCTCTGAACATCTTGAAAGATGCATGCAACACAAATATTGTGATATATGTACTATGTGATATATATATATATATATATATATATATATATATATATATATACTCTTGTGATATATGTGCTATGTGTTACAACACCGCAGTACATTCCCCTTTTGACTTAAGCCCCACTGTGTTACATGGGTTGGCTCCTTGTAAGT